TATAACGGCGCTAAATTCGACATAAAAGCCTAGTGTAGACCAGGCCTTAGTGCTGAAAATATGTTACCACCAGTTATGCCTGACATTTATCCACTAATTTCAACCTTGTGTCTTGAAAGTCATAGTTTGGAAGTTTCAGAAAAATATAAACAAAATAATTCAGTACTTTTAACTCTGATATTCAGGTTTGTTGAAGACTGATTTTTTTTTTTTTATGTTTTCCTCTTTGATCTGTGTCCAATTTAGAAAAAAAATTGGAAGTATATTAGAATAGAAAATTGTCCAGACTAAAAAAAATAGGTAGCAATAAAATTCAGATAAGAAAATAGTCCTAGAAGGTACTAATTTTAGTTCAGTGGCATTGCAATGTTATTGTGACTTATCTAAATGCTAAATGGGGTATGAAGAGGGAGTATTTCAGTATAAAAGTATCTCTAAAGTACTCATCTACAGCACAAACAACTCTATGTTAGATGAAACCTGCTCATCTATACCAGACAAAGAGGTTCAATACCTGACCAAGGCCTTCAGATGTATGCTTATTTCTACATCTGCTTTTCCAGCAGCTTGAAAGCATATCGCTCTTGAAGAAAATTGGTTGAAGAAACAGAAGTCATTTTAATAGACAATTGTGGATATTCTCTTTCCCAAAATACTTTATAATGCAGAATTCCTGTTCAATGTTCAGTTATACAGTCTTCAACAGTTACTTTTTGCACTTAGGTTTTGAAAACAACAAAATATAGAAATTGTGATTTTTAATACCATTTCCAAGGTCACTGAACTGAAGTACTTTCCCTACCTACTTCTCAGTGTGCGGAAACAAGCATTTTGAGATTCTTGGATGAAAGGTTCTAATGAAGCACAAAGTTTTCTCTTTTTTCAGGAAAAAAGCCTGCTTCCACCCACAGCCATATTTTATGAGTGGTGCCCCTCCTGCCCACAAGTCAATCCCAGGACTCTTTAGAAGTGCTGAGATAGACCTACATCAAACTCACAAGAAAGGGCTGCCACTGGCTGACAGGTACCAGGATGTTGCCCCAGGGGTGTGTGGCCTGGCTCTCATATTACAATCTGGCACTAGCTTTAACAGACGGACTCTTCCATTTTGGCATTATTTCACAATTGCTTCTGACTAAAGTAGGAAAGGAAAAAGGCAGGTTGGTTTCAGGAAATGAAAGCCGGGTCAAGCCACAACTCTCAGGTCTTAAGTAAATGAAGGACAGAGTCAAATACTTATACAAAATAAAGGACATTTTTGTGTAGCTGATCTGCATAGCTGGAGAACATTTTTATTTTTTGTTCCACCCTAAAAGATAAGCCGCCACAAAGGATGCTCATCCAGAGCACTAGATACCCTTGACATATTTTTAAAGCCACAGTATCGGAGCTACAAAAAAACAAACAAACAAAACAAAAAACAAACAAACCACAACCCAAAGCAGTAGCACCTCTCCTTACCACACATTTAATCACCAATTGTGTGTACCATACAGTTTTAAATCACCACTGCACTTCCCCACCAGACAGAAATCCCACCCTCAACTGCCTCAGCATAGCTAATAGGAGTTATACAGTACACAAAGATTTTTAACACCATGTTACATGCATTTAAAGTCATGTTTTCGGGTAAATATATCAAAACATACAATTAAGAATATTTTTAGCTGGCTCTAATACGAATGAGATACACAAGGGACAATGTGTTTCAGTTTTAAGATAGGATTCCACTGCCAGTACAGTAAGGTACACAAAAACCGATCACGGTCATAGGTCAAATTGTGTACTGTAAATTTTAAAAAGCTTGTTTAGGACTTACCTCATCTAGCTCATTACTCTTCCTTTTCCTTCTTGTCTTGGGCATTTTAACAGTCACTGGTAAGGCACTGCCCTGGTGTTTCACTTCCATTTTATTGGGATGCAGAGGTGTGAACTGAATCTCCATCTCAGGTTTAGGAAACCTGCTACCTCTCCCATTTTCTGTAGATACTTCAGAAGAGTCCAGAACAGTGTCTGAATGGTCCTGAAGACACATGGGGTGAATTAAAGAGAACAAAAATATTGTTGAACAAGCTTTAAAATAACTTTGTGATATGAAAATTAAAAAATTAACATAGCCCTTGAAAAAATCCACACACTCAGTAGCTATTGGCATTTGGGAAACTTGCCATGGCACGTGAGGGAGCCTACATCTTCAACTGTTGTAAACTGTAAGCTTTTTTTTTTAAACAAAAAAAATTAAGTTTCTAGCCTTCATGGTTGTGAATATATTTCCGAATGTGAACCCAATGCAGTGCTTTCTTACTGAGTCATCTCCTCGGGGATACAGACAACTCCAGCTTTGCTCTATAGCTGCTTACTGCTTTCCGAAGCCACAGTAGAGAGCAAGTAATATCATTGGAAAGTTTGTGCTGCTGCTGCTCAGAATCCTGCGGGCAGCAGCAAAGCTCATTGGAATCACATCAATTTCACTCTACTGCTACTTGGAAATTAGCCAAGGACAGGAGCTATTTAGGGATAGGACAAGCTGAAAACAGGCTAGAGAAGGGATAGAGTAGCAGACCCTTCCACACCTCTATATTAGCAAAGATGGTAGAGGTGAAGGGTACTGAGACCTTGCTCCCACTCCAGCAGCAAGAAAGCCCAGAGGTTGAGGAAAAGAAGGAAGACAGTTAAAACTCCTTCTTTCTAACAGCTCCCACTAGGATTCCTAACTTACAGCTGATATAGAAAATGGAGCACACATCCAGGAACAGTAGTCTAGTGAGAATCCCTGCACCTTCTCATTTCCAAAGGGTGGATCTATAATGATATCACTCATTATGTAGATGTCATGTTAGTAAAGAGTTCGCAGTTTAAAGGGTCAAGTTAAATGAGAGTTGGGACTTTGCCCAGCTTATAGACCTTCACAGGGAGCTCTGATCTGAAGAAGGCGTATCAAACTTGCCTTAAGGGTAGCCCATTTAAAGTGCCTTTAAAAAATAAATAAATAAATAAATAAAAAGTCTCATCTAAGACTCATTCATTTTGCGAACACAGCTGGCCCTTAATTAGAGCCCATGAAGTAGGATCTTCTTTTATAGACATGCAAAGGGGTAACGGGATTCACCAAGTCAGTGGCAGAGCCGGGAGACTGCCCACCACCACATCTCTCCCTCCCTTTAGCATGGCTCTTTTTATTGCTTTTTCCAGTACAGCAACAGACATTAGTGAAAAGCCTGGGTACCTCTGAAGCAGCTACAAACAAAGAACCAGCACCAAATGACCTGTCAGTTCTCCGCAAGCCACAAGGAAGAGGCCTGTGAACTACAGTTTGAGAACTGTACAGATAATTTCTTTAGCTTTACTGTGTCCATTAGACAAAAGCTTTATCATCACATTATCACCTAAAAGAAAGTTATATACCAACCTCAGTTTCATCTAATGAAGACACAGTGCTTGGACATTTTGATAATAGATTGTCTTTAACTTCATTGCAGCTTATTGGGATACTTTGTCCAGCTATAGGATCATTCTCTCTCTGTTTTTCCTTAAACTGTAAAAGATTTAGAATGAGTCACAACAATGCTAGAGTGGAAGCTTCAAAATTATGTTTGAGCTACCTACATGTTCCAATATAAAAGCTCAATATATTTAAGTTCATGAATGTTGTGCAGGAAGACAATATTAAACCATTTCAAAAGACCCATGCAGTTAATATCCAAAGGTACTTATTTTTGTAAGAAACATTTCACTATTACTATACCATGAAAATATTCAGACCTGATAATTTTCTGTTAGCAGCTTCTCCCCTCATTCATAACAAATGGGACTGCCACCTGGGGAATTTGGAGGTGGTTTTATGTTGTTGCTGGAAGGTCCAGGACTGAGTCCTGCTTTTCAGCTCATGCTACCAGAAAAGTTCTTCCAAAGGTGTAGATTCACGCCAGCAACCAATTAATAGCAATGAGACAAGAACTTGAAATTACTGAAACCAACCTTAGAGCAACTGTATGTGAGAGTCTCCCCTTCAGAGAAAAAATAATATTTTTACAAGTTGTTTTACAATCATTTACCGAACTACCAGATTGGGTTCAATGAACTAGAAGCTGCTAACAGAAAGAAAATAATCAGGTAAGAAATTTCTCATTCTGCTGCCCAGCTTCACTCCTCATTTAAATCAAATGGACCGTAGCAAGCAGCAATGCACAGAACTAGAGAGGGTTAGTGAGTGGAAAGATAAAGCAGAATTTAAACTATTGTTGTTATGGTAGGCAGAAATAGGAAGGAACAGGAAGTTTCCATGATATAAAGTGAAAGTTTTGTAACTTAAGGAATTATTTCGGAACAAACCAGTAGCACCTTCATACCAAAGGATGCCTCTGCAGAGGAATGGAAACCTGCTTTGCAAGTCTCCCTCAGGTGAGGCTCAGACACTTCCTTCCCATAGTGCAACTGGAGGGAACCTTGATTCCCTCAGTGAATGGTTTCCCAGATGAGTAGCGTGCCAACTGGTGCAGGATTTTACCATTTTGCCTGTGGAAACTTTGAGGTCCTAAGGCATTTTGGATATAATCATGAAAAGGGTACAACTGGCATATGTACCCGCATGCCTGAGATAGATCATCTTTAGAGCTCTAAGAATACCTTCTTATGATACAATCTTCAAAAGGGGTGTTCAAGATTGGAACAAAATGATGGGTGAACTCATATTTCCTATGAATTGTGGGAAGAAGAACTTGCCCCGGGCCAAAGGTTTCTGGAGCTATCAGAATAAGCTTTTCCTTAATAGAGTGGTTCTTATATAGACGGAGGAACTAATTTCAAAATTTGTCTTTTAGAAGTAAGGGCAACTAGAAAAGCTGACCCCAGGTTTATCTAATCTGAGAGTTCTGATAAATCTTGGTACCCAAGGGTACTCAGTTGGGAAGTCCAATGTGCCTGCATAAAAGAAAGCTGCTAGGGATGCAACCCACTTTTCTAAAGGTGCTTGGTTGTAGGGTTCCAGTCAGCCATCCTGGAAAAACTCTAGCGTAGCAAAGATATTTTGTGATTATTGTAAATTATTTGTATTATAGTGGTACCTTGCGGCCCAGGCCCCATTTTGCTGCACACTGTACAAACATGTGAGGCATTCTCTGACACAAAGAGTTGACTGCTTTCCTTCACACCAGAAATTTGACCAGTTCAATGAATGAAAATTTATTGGCTGAGTTCTGTCTGGATACCAAAATGTATCAACAAGACAGAGAGAATCCCTGCTGAACTACACTTCTTTAGATGCCCAGTTGGCCCAGATCTGGAGAGGTATTTTGACCTTAGAAAAAGCGAGTCTGTATAAGGAGCTCTTTGAGGGAGAAATTATTAGCAGAGCACTGCAGAGGCACCGAGGCCACAAGTGTGCTCGTGGGTGGCTGCTAAACCTGTTACGTAGATGTAAGAGGAAACTTCCCCTGTGGCCAAGTTATTTTGAAATTCCCACTACTGCATTTCTTGCACTTTCTTCTGAAGCAGCTGGTGCTGGCCATCATCAAAGAGAGAATACTGGACTTGATGGACCACTGGTCTGGTCTTTTATAGCCATACCACTGATATAGGTGTCAAAGTAAACTAAAGGGGCATGTACTCATACTCTGAAAAATTGTACAGCACAGGGTGTGAGCTAGAGATACTTTCCATTTTCCAGATGGGGGTCCATAATCCCAAGGTTGTCATGCAACACTAATGCTCTGCATGTTGCACACTCGTCCAGTAAATTTCCAGGTGGAATTTAAAGTACTGGTTTTATCCTATAAATTCTGTATGCTTTGGAACCTAGTCATCTGTAGGACCATGCCTCTCCCTGCACCATACTGTTAGAGTTCAGACTGACAGAGGTGCTTGAGTTGGAATTCCATTGACACAGACCTACAGAAGCTGGTAGAGAGGGAATTTGGTCTCCTCAGCTCTTGAATATGGTTCCCTTTTTTGGTCCTCCAGAGTTTCTATTAGTTAACTATCTAGGTAGGTTCTGAAGCCCCACTTTTCTCAGAGGCATTTACAGAGATAGGGTTTTCATAAGTGGAGGAGAAGTTGATATTTTATTGGCTAGAGAGTGTCTTTGATTTTAGTGAGAAAATCTATGAAGTAAAAGAATTTGTACTTAGAAATTTGGTTAATTAAAGTATATTTGAAAGAAGAAAAAAAAGATTTTCTACCCATGTTAAATTTAGGGAGGTACCGAGAGCCACTGGGATGGTTGCCAGTGAAATTAGAAAATAAACGATTTGTAAGTAGATTCTGATATTTATAGGAAGTGTTTGCTAAACATAAAGTTACCTGTTTACTATGGAGGTATTCATTCCCTTTATTTTCTCCTTCTTCAGCTAATGCAGTTACCCTTAAAGTTTTAGGATTTTCATGACAAGAAAGTTGTTTTAGCTTCTTTATAGTGTCATCTTTTTCAGCCATCTGTCTCCTTAGTTCTTCTATTGCAGTTCCATAATCCTGTTTAACATGTTACAAATCTAACTATATACACTGGAAAAATACAAATTTAACAGGCATACTTACAAAAAAAAAAAAAAAAAACACACAGTAAAGAAATGGGCTGGACTCACATGTTTAACAATTAAATGATTTTTTTTTAAAAGGCAACTTAATTCTCTGTATTAACTTGATAATCATAGAAAATACCTGTGACCAATGCCAGCTGACAAAGGGGCACAGAGGGCATACATAGAAGTTACAGGGATCTCCCAAGCTTGGTATATACATTCTAGTTCACCAAAGAGGGCCATGTAAGGTCTCTAACAACAGCTTATGTGATACTAATTATGAATATCATAATCATATGTATGTACTGCTACTATGTAAAGAGTTATGTATATATAATGAAAATATGTTCTTATAGTTTGCAATTAAGAGGTGAAAAACTGGTTTCCTGTCAGACCAGAAATGTTTATCCATCTGTTGAAATGTAAATTGAGTATTGTCTCATTAACAATCACCAGTCTGAGCTCAATACGAATTGTGACATGGCAGACCAGGTGCCAGCTCATGCCAAGGCCCATGGGCCTCACTGAACACTGACAAATGCATAGCTGGAAACCAGTCTGACTCACCTGTGTGTTAGTGTTGTCAAAATAGATATTAGAGTTATAAGAAAGTGTTTAGTGGTTACACTTATGAAATGCTTGTAGGATGTGGCATGTATTAATATTAGTTATAATATCTATATCCCACATTATAAGGTAATATTTGTTTGCTCTGTAACTATAAAGTGTTTGCTAAAACTGTAAAACCCCACAGACAGGAAAGAAGCATTACCAGTTTACAACAGAGCGGTTCCTCTCCTCCCCAACAAAAGAAGACCTATAAACACCAGACAAACCATTGTGGGACATCAGAGGACAAAAGACCGATTGCTTCCCCCTCACCCATGAAGAGGGTATGTGCACAAGCCCTTGTCCCATCACATCTTGAATGCCTGGGGAAGAGCATAAATATCCCTATCAAGAAGTAACTGTAATCACTATGTTGCTTGAAATGTGGAGAGGTCAATGTTTCTAAGCATAAGCAAAGGATCCCCAAGCTGCTTAGCTTGGGTTAGCCCTAAAGGACCTATTGCATATTACAGCAGTTCCTGTTACCTTTTTTACTCCTGACAGAATTCTGCGCCCCTGCGGGGGCACAGAATTTATATGGCCCACATATTTCTGTGCCCCCCATGCAGAAAAATGCAAAAAAAAAATCTGCCGGGGGACATGCGCCTCTTCCCCAGCAGTCCAGGCAGCACATCTGTTCCAGTGTGCTTGGAGCAGCCAGAGACGGAGGAGGGGAGCTGAGCATGCATGCCTGATCACTGTCAGGGGGGCTGGGGGCGCTGGACGTACGTGCATGCCAAAAAAGCTGAGGGGGGGGAGAGAGAGAGAGAGAGACACTCTGCTATTGCTACTGCAGCTTGCTGGCATGGAAGGGTAGGGCTTTTTATTATACACAAGGCAGGCATGGAGGCAGAAATGTAGCAGCCTGCCTCCGTAGGAACATTGTTAATGTTCCTGTTGTTAGTTAACTGTTCCCATCCTCAGTCAATTCCCCCAGGAACATAAAACCTGTAAAAGTTTTAAGGCCCCTACATTGCCAGAGTGATGTAAAGGAGCCTTATTATAAATGACAGTAAGGGAATCCTCAGCTAGGAAGATCAATGTGCTTTCTCACTTTTTTCCTGTGCCAAAAATGGCACAATGGGGTTGGATTACAGCTCAGGATTTGTTTTACTTACCCATTTTTTTTTTTAATTAAAAGACTTTGAGGGCAAATAAAACATTTACCAAGCAGTCAATAAAATGTCAGGACAATCAGAACCAAGCACTTCCCAAAGTATCCAGCCAGGTTTAGGACAATGGTTAGGAAAACTGTACGACTTTCAGGTGTGAAAGTCTGAGCAATTTAAAATGACATTCTACTTTTTATTTTTTTTGCTGTTTGATGTTCTATAATGTAATTTAAATTAAAATCCAGGATTATAATTGGAATGCAGGGTATTAGTTACCAGGTGTTTGTAACTTAACTTTCATGTGTTTAGGAAATGCTGAATAGTTATTGTGACTTTTCTCTATTGTATTGTTTTGGTAATTTCTTTAAACTACAATTGAAACTGGTGTGATTATATTGCATTAGTTTGACAAATAAAATATGCAAAATTTTGAATATTTTGGTGCAGAATCCCCTCAGGAGTACTTTTTTAACCTAAGACTAACTCATCTGTGCGTGTATGTTTACCTGCTTTAACCTTGTAAATAACTCTTATTTCTTTTTCCTAGTTAATAAATCTTTAGTTAGTTTATTTCAAGGGTTGTCTTTGATAAGAGATTTAAGGTGCAACTGACCTGCTGTACTGAGAGTAACCTGAATACTACTGTCTTTTTTGGCATAAGAGACAATCTATCACAAAGGCAGGCTTGCCTGGGTGGCAAGATAGACCAGAGTGCCAAAGGGGATTGTTTGACTTCATGTTAAGGCTGTTATAGTTATTTAGGAATTCACACTTCTTACTTGGTCGGTGAAATCTAATTATAGAATATACAATTAGTTTGGGGTTTGTGCCTTGTTCCCTGACAGTCTACCCTGCGGTTAGCACTCATGCTTGTGAGCTGCTCTAGACAACTTGACACAGATGAAGGACTGTAAGAATTAACAGGAAGAGAGAAACAGCACAGGGAAAAGGGTGTTATCTGGGAGTACACTTCAAAACGTTCACTGGACTATAGTAGGGGGCAAGGAAAGCACCCTGTTATCCTGCACCTAGGAAGTAATCGGGCCATGTGATTACATTCATGAAAACAGTATTACAACCAGCCTTGGTTGGAAGTGCTGCCAAAAAGGCTTTGGGCAAGATAAGACTGCTTTAGACAGGAGGTTAGCTGTTAAATTAAGTTTAGTCTCCAGAAAGCAAGTGTTGATTTTGTTTTATATGTAACCCTTCTGTTTCCATTATTCTTACTCAGTATCTGTTAAATATTATCAAAAATCAAGAAACTTATGATTGTTTTAACTACAAATATAACTCAGTGTTATAAGGAGCTGATCCTGAATTGAATCAAACAAGCTGATGAATACCCTGTTCCTTTGGGAACTGCAGACCTGGTAGTACTGTGAATGTTCAGAGGATAAAGGGATGAACACTATGAGGGGATGCTTCAAAGGGGCTCAGGAACTGGGGTGCACCTATTGTTAACCTGCAAGGCAAAGTAAGGGCCGGCATAGCCCAGAGGAAATTGTTTGGGTGGCTAACAGATTGGAGGTGTGTCAGGGAGCAGACACCCAATTAAGCACAAGCAAGTCTTCCTCTTGCTAGAGACAGGGGTGGTTAACAAGGTGATTCAGTCCTGGGCACTCGAGAACTGTCACAGTACCAGAAAACACATACAGCATGGAAAGAAGCAGCCTAATCTTTCTCATGCTATTCTGCCTATGCACTTCAATATTGATAGAGGTTTCCCCCCTTAAGGTATAATGAATTCAGTCCCCATACCCATTCATTCATAACCTCTCTGCCAGGACTGCCAATAAAGGTAATAATTGTGTTGGTGGTTTGTGACATGAATACCTGTCCTCAAGAAACTGGACTGAGACCCCATCAATTGATTTTATAAATCACCAAACAGCCATCAAATGTCAACTAATTTAGTTCCCACAATTAATTTTTAAGACTTACAAATGCATTGTAACAGGGTTTGTTCTGTTTCTGACACTGGCCAAAACAGGAAGTTGGGAAAGTGAAGGAAATAACAAAAATGTTTGAAAATTTTATTTTGAGTTTAATTTGAAATTCAGGTTAACTCTTTCGTTTGTTTTTTGCCTTTTTTCCCCCTTGTCATGCCACTGTGCCTCCTGGTCTTGGCCTGGACCAGAGATGGAAATGAAAAGCCAACAAAGGCTATTTCTCATGGAATTTTCAGGATGGCTAGTCCAAGAAATTACTAGAAGTTTCATAAGAAAGCCTGTTTGAGATTTCCAGTCCAGTTTCTTTATCACAGAGTTCAAATAAACTTCAAATGCTTTTCTGAACCACTGAACCTTTTGGAAGTTCACCCACCACTAATGCCAGTTCATTTCCAAAGCAAGCTATGGGGCTGTTTTTATTTTTAAATTTGCTCTTAAACACTGAAATGTTGAAAATATTTGAAGCTTGCACAGCTCTGAAACCAAAACTGCAACAATATGATAATGCTATGCAGAACTAATAAATAACAAATCAAAATGCACAGGAGGAGGATGATTAGGCTGACCTTTCCTGAACCCGTTAATGTGGTATGTTTCAGTTCCTCTATTTCTTTCTCTTTCTGAATGTTGCTAGAAACCAAAGTACTGAGCTGTACTTCCAAAGCTGCTACTAGCTGATCTCTTTCTTTACGCCACTTTTGCAGGTCATTATCCTTTTCTGCCAGCTGTGCAGTAAGCCTCTCCTAAACAGAAAATGGAAAGTGATTAGAAAAGCCCTGAAACACCTTCTATTTGAACTGTCCCGACTACGTGGTTTCAAATGATTAACTATTATATTTATGCTCAAAAAGGAAGACCCTAGTAATCTAGGAAATTAAGCCAACGTAAGTATTCTATTTCACAAAGGGAGACAAGTAATTTAGGGCTGGTCCACACTAAGCCCCCAGTTCGAACTAAGATACGCAACTTCAGCTACGTGAATAACGTAGCTGAAGTCGAAGCATCTTAGTTCGAACTTAAAGGTACTTACCGGGGGTCCACACGTGGCAGGCAGGCTCCGCCGTCGACTCCGCCTACTCCTCTCGCGGAGCAGGATTACTGGCGTCGACGGCGAGCACTTCCGGGATCGATTTATCGTGTCTAGACAAGACGCGATAAATCGATCCCAGAAGATAGATTGCTTGCCGCCGAACCAGCGGGTAAGTATAGACATACCCTTAGTTTCATTTGCAATAATTGACAGTGTATAAAAACACTATAAAAAACAGTGTATAAAAAATAATAAATCTTGTTCTCGCATTCTCTTTTCAAGAGCAGCATTTCAGTAAAAAAAAGCCCCTCCAACTATTGATGTAACTAACCTGACTGTTTCTCATGAGTATTTTACAAGCTAGCCAACATAAAGTTGAAGAGTAAACTAAGGGTTCATCTAAATTTGAGCTGGGAGATGTGATTCCCAACTCTGCTTGAGCTATCATCTAAAAATAGCAGGTGTGTCCATGGCAGCCCAGGCTGCTGCCTGAGTACTATTGCACCCGAACCCCTAAATACATAGTCAGGTGGCTAGCCTGAGTGGCCACCCACGTTGTGGAATAGTATCAGCCTTATCACTAGAGCTTATTTATACAATGGGTACCACAGCCCTGCTGTGAAAGTGGTATGGATGGAGAAAACAGTGATTTCCTCCCCCCCACTATCACAAACTGCATTTTAAACCAAATAATATAGATTTTGCTACAAATCTAGGCTGAAAAATTAGCTTATCTTCAACCTTCTACTGTCTCTCTCCCACCTTGCCCTTTATAACTGATTTTCTTTTAGAAAAGTTGTTTCCTAAATGGGAGTTCTCCTCAGCCCTGTTGAGGAATCAGTACATTTTCTTAGTAAGGACTCCTTTTGGGACTTAACTCAAGAGGTGCAGCTCTGAGTCTTTGTGTTCCTTGTTCTCAGATATGTAACTGGGGAGGTAATAATATAGGAGGAACCAAGATAGATTCATTTCCTGTTATGCCTAAAATGTTTCTTAATAGTTATGGTAAGTGTATGATCAGGGTGGATAAAAATCAATGATTTTAAAAAAAAAAAAAAAAAAAAAAAAATCTGATTTTTTTATTTAAATTGGATTTTTTTGATAAAATGCTTTTTGAAGAAAACACCTATCTAAAGATAGTTTTAATTAAGATACATTATAGCTCAAAGATATCTCATCATGGAATAGGGATTATAAATTCTAATTTTATAGTATGAGACAATATATTCATGTAATGTTTAAGAAAAGTTTTGTAAATGAGTTCCAATAGTTCATGGATTAGGGACCCAATCTTATGGGGTTCCACAGGCTTCTGTATAGATTATTTAGGTTAATCTTCCTATCTACCCAATGGGACTCAGTGCTCAGTCTAGAAGATACCATCAGAGATGCTTAGTTTTGCAGTTCTCAAACTGTGGATTTGTGTCTCCAGAGGTAACATGTTTGTTAACAACAAAAATGTTTTTAAATAAATAAATAATATATAGAGATGAGAAATAACAGACCTCAACTCTATTGTCCCTCTGCAAATTTGTATACACATGGTCAACCCCTTACCTCTCTCTAAAAGTGCAAAGTTTCAAAACGTTCAATGAATAGAAGATTGTTGGGGGCGGAATAGATCTGGACAAGGAGAAGAAGTCTGGAGATAAATCTTAGAAGCGAGGGACATATGCTTGTTTTGTTAAAATATTATATGTTTGTGGTTGAAGAAAAAAATCCAGACTACTTAACGTTGTTGTTTTAGTTAAATAAAACAATGTAAATGTCTGTCTGGTGATGTTCTCCTCCTAATACAGCATGGCAAGAAAATCCTCCAAATATTAATGATTAACCTGTTGAATTGGAGATAGTTCACCTCCCAATGACTTCATAAATATCTGCTTCAATTACCTTTGGTAAATGAAATAACCAAACAATCATTCATTTTCTGATATAGCTGTAAAACTAATCTGAAAAGTTTTCAAAATAAACCATTGTTTAAAAATGTATAGTGTGTACCTTCTAAAAATGAAACCTACATCTATCTCTGAGTTGTGAAGAATATGTATTAAGGTTATAAAAACCAACAAGAATGCACTTTTATGTAGAAAACCATGATTAAATTGAGACTGACTAGTGATTTAAATCATGATTTAAATCAAATCCACTCTATGTATGATAAAGAACACCGCAAACTGAGCACCTCCCATCCTGACTTTCCTGTAAAATGACAAAAGAAGAAAGAAGAACTCAGTCCTCTGAAGTTCCAAATACCCTCAACTTCCAAGAGGAGTTAGGATACCTCACAGGAAACACTCTGCAGGATCAAGCCCTTTAATTTTCTTTGAAACCTGTTTAAAACATCATGAAAATTAGAATGGATGGTCTATTACTCACCGCTTCTGTTTGTTGCTTTACGTGACGTTCTCTATCTTCAGCAAATTTTCTCATCTCTCTGTTTCGGTGATTCTCAGCTTCTTTTACTTGAGTTATAAGCCCCATTTTTTCTTCCACCCATTTCTTTCTATCAGTTCTACACTTTTCTTCAATTTCCTGTGTTAAGTAATCAAAAATTTAGAGAGTCAGGTATAAATCTTTTCTTAGCTAGGGAGAAGGCTCTCCAAGGTTAGGCTGATGTTAAATTGACAATCTTTGCGTATTGTAGGGAGGACACCCAGTTACTTTTTTTTGGACAAGACAGACAAACCTATCAGTAAAACAAAGAAATATCAACCCACCAACAGGATACCAGCATATTCCTGAAATAAACTTTTTCTTTTATTTATAAAAATAGCACAAAGTTTCTAAAAAAAGACTTTTGGAATGGTATTATGGGATAAACATTTGTGTTTTGATCTACAGCAGTGTACATAACTTTGGCTAATCATAGAATCATAAAAGACTAGGATTGGAAGAGACCTCAGGAGGTCATCTAGTCCAACCTCCTGCTCAAAGCAGGACCAACCCCAACTATATCATCCCAGCCAGGGCTTTGTCAAGCTGGACCATAAAAACCTCTTAAGGATGGAGATTCCACCACCTCCCTAGGTAACCCTTCCAGTGCTTCACTACACTCCTAGTGAAATAGTTTTTCCTAATATCCAACCTAGACCTCCCCCACTGCAACTTGAGACCATTGCTCTTTGTTCTGTCATCTGCCACCACTGAGAACAGCCTAGCTCCATCCTCTTTGGAACCCCCCTTCAGGTAGTTGAAGGCTGCTATCAAATCCCCCCCTCATTCTTCTCTTCTGCAGACTAAATAAGCCCAGTTCCCTCAGTTCATGAGGCGAGGCTGAGGAAAATGGTTTTATTTAATCCCAGGTACCAATCAATTTGTGCTAAAAATTTTGCTACCAAGAACCCTTGTTCCTGTCCTCTCCTGTCCCTATCCCTTGAATTCCCTGCTCTGCCGCAGAGTGAACTGCAGATGCATACTACTGCTTCCCCAGGGCAGAAGGGCAAAGAACACTACCCCATATGACTACAAAGGCAGAGGCATTGAGGGAAAGTGATGAGCATGTTTCACTTGAAGAATATCACTTCAGCCAACATAAACTTTGCCTCCTTTACCCTAAGAACCAAAATGACTGTCCACAAACCTCTTTGCAGGACATTCTCCCATATAACTGGTCAGCAACTGACAGGACTGAACCAGCAACCCAGGTAACTACAGAAACCCAGGTCCACTAATTTCTCAGAAAGTCACATGTTTGCTATTTCTATCTTCCCTGCCAGATATAATTTCCTCAGAACTAAGGTATCTGTAGAAGCCAGGATGCAAGCTGGATCCTAGAGCAAAGCAACTGGTTGCATTTCTCAAGTGTGCAGTATGGTTACCTGGCTGTCACAGCACAGCTAGCCTTTGAGGCATGGGAAGCCCAAGGCCCTGGCTCTTTCCTCGTCACTCACCTGGTTTTGGCAATCCATTCCTCTCTGCTGTAAATTTTTTTTTAAAAGAAGTTTCCACTCCTGGCTCCTTGTGAAGACAGCACTGAAGATGTAACACATGGGCTGGAAGTCTATTACTGATTTTTTCTTATGTCACAGATTTGTGGTCTCACAGACTTTAAGGTCAGAAGGGACCATCATGATCATCTAGTCTGACCTCCTGCACAACACAGGTCACAGAACCTCACCCAGCCACTCCTGTAACAGACCCCTAACCTCTGGCTGAGTTACTGAAGTCCTCAAATCATGATTTAAAGACTTCACGTTACAGAGACTCCACAATTTACACTAGTTTAAACCTGCAAGTGACCCATGCCCCATGCTGCAGAGGAAGGTGAACCCCCGCCCCCCCCCAGGGTCTCTGCCAATCTGACCCTGGGGAAACTTCCTTCCTGCCCCCAAATACGCTGATCAGTTAGACCCTGAGCATGTGGGCAAGACACCTGGGAACGGATTCTCTGTAGTAAGTCAGAGCCCGACCCATCTAGTGCCCCATCATCGGGCGCTGGAGATACTTGCTACTAGCAGTCACAGATCCGCTACATGCCATTGTAGGCAGTCCCATCATACCACCCCTCTATAAACTTATCAAGTTCAGTCTTGAAGCCAGTTCGTTTTTTTGCCCCCACTGCTCCCCCCTTGGAAGGTTGTTCCAGAACTTCCCTCCTCCGATGGCTAGAAACCTTCATCTAATTTCAAGCCTAAACCTGTTCATGGTCTGGCCTTAAAGAACCTCTGAAATGGGAACTTCCAGTTTTGCAGATATGCCCAGACCAATTTACAGCTGTGGGAGGTCATGCTGCCTGATCTTCCTCAAACTCCCTTCACAGAGAGCTGCTTGGTGCAGAACCAGCTCCTTTGCCCAAGGAGTCAAACATAGGTCATCACCACAAGGGGGTGGAGTTAAGGGTCAGAAGGCAAAGTTCATTATCATAAGAGACAGTCTAATCTGATGGACTAAGCATGGGACAGAGCAGAGGTTCTAACTGCAGGTTTGGCATAGACACCTTCCATGGCATTAAGCCTTTTTGCACTTGCATCCCTGTTAGAATTGCACATTGTGAACGTTTCATATATGAAGTGTTAAATGTTACCATCTATTAAGAGGCTAGATTTTGTATTTTCTAAATAGTTGTGGTTATTAGAAACATTATGAACAGGATGTGGGCAAATTGATGGAAGAAAATGGCAGGCAGAAAAGTGAAGAAAGTGTTCAAATGATTTAGTGGTTTGACCAGAGCCCAAAGAGAAACTGACTCTTTTGTGGAGAAAGGATAAGGACTGGTTAGACATGTCATATATGCTGCACAGTACTTAGCAGTTATGGAATGGTACTTCATCTTTCAGAAGGAAGTTCCTTTACGAGTGTAACTCAGTTCGCTCACACACTTTTATAACATGCCCTACTTCTTCGGTGTAACAAGAAAGAGGTGATATAGCTACTTGCCTGCTTTAAACGGAATGCTCTGTGTTTAAAGTTAAGTCACCAAATTTTACCTTAAGTCTTTCTTGCAGACTGATTAGTTCTCCACTAACTACATCTATGTTTTTGTCCTCATGTTTGTTTATTTTTTGTTGCCACTCTCTATTACTCTTCTCCAGCTCTTTATATTTCTGCTTCCATTCTTCCAATTCTAGTCAGAATACAAGAAGAAATAACATGGTTTGCATCAATTTCAAACTTCTTACCACATTCACACCCTTCTTGTAGTACAGCTCCCACATTTATCAGTCACAACTACTGCCGGAGCGAAGATATGGCAGAAATGCCATCACTAGGCCAAATCCTGCAGTCTTTAAACAAAACTCCAATGGTGTTATGGATTTGGTCCAATATAATAGTTATAAACTCAATGATAAAAATGGAGAATTGTTCCTAAGCATCTAAAAAGTATGTTTTTGCTCCTATTCTAGATAGGTAGTTTACCAGAAACTAATCTCTCAGTCTCTTCTAATTTGGCCTCTAGCACTTGATCTTGTTCCAGCTGAGTCTGTTCCTGTTCCTCTAATGTCAGTCGCATGTCTTCAATTATTTTCTCTTTTGCACGCAGATCTGAAGATTTAAAAATAGATTTAAAAAGGAGGCTCCTTTTTCTCCCCACCATTCTCCCCCAATTTAGTGTGCCCATTAAAAGCTCAGGATCCAAAGCTCTGTTACAAAGTTCAAGAACACATTTACACTCTGCTGGCCAGAGTTCTCAAACTTGGGTATCCCCACCCACAAGAGTAACAAAAACTAAAATCCAATCCACCAGCAGCAAAGGGCTTATCCCAAAAGGAGATTTGGAGGAAAAGCATTTAGTCATTTGAAAGTTTCCTTGTGAGTGTCTTTTTCCAATACTATATGAGAGGGGAACCACTGTTCAACTGAGGTACATTCATCAAGGCCGCAACACGTAACTATCATTAAGACTAAGTTTTTGTCACGGATATTTTTAATAAAAGTCAGGGACAGGTCACGTGCAATAATGAAAAATTCACAGAAGCCCTGACCAGTCCATGACTTTTACTAAAAATACCAAAGACAAAATGGGTAGGCTGGGCAACTGGGGGGTAGGGAGACTAGGAGCTCCAGGGTCTCCTGCTGCGGCTGGGAGCTGCCGGGGTCCTCCTACCACCCATAGCAACTGGGAGCTTCGGGGGTCCCTCTTGCCTCCCATGGTGGCGGGGATCCCCCCTGCAGCTGGCGGTGGCTGGGAATGGTGGGGGCCTCTTGCCACCTGTGGCGGCTGGGAGCTCTGTGGATCCCCCCTACCACCCACGGTGCATGGGAGCTGCGGAGAGTCCCCCTGCTACGGGGTCCCCCATGCTGCCTGTGGCGGTGGGGAGCGGTGCAGGTCCCCCCCGCCACCCGTGGTGGCCAGGAGCGGTGTGGGAGCTGCGGGGCTCCTCCCTGCCACCCACAGTGGCCCGGAGCTGCGGGGATACCCCACAGCTCCCTGCCTCTGCAGGCGGCAGGGGACCCTGCAGCTCCCAGATGGCACTGGATGAAGTCACTGAGGTCTTTGGACGACACGGATTCTGTGACTTCCGTGACCTCCGTGACTAAATCGCAGCCTTAACGATCATTAACCAGTCAGCATTTTAATCTTTGAGATTTTATTAAAATGGGAGCTCTCGTACCTTCTCACTTTTAAAACGTTATAAGTGTGACTATAGCAAACCCACAATCTGTCTCCAAAAATAAAATGAAAAAGGAGTTTGGGATTTATATCCTTCGCATCATCTTCTTGCTTTCTAACAGACCAACTGACATGGGCTAAACAAAACTGCAGCTCATTACTTGAATGTTTTAAATACTAGATTTGGAATTTGTTCTATCCAAACAATATTTTTAAAATGTGAATATATTAAAACCCTTTAAGCAAATTATTTACACAACAAGAACCCATTATGCTGCCATTTCGTGACAGGATATGAACAAAAGTGGCTATTGCTTACCTTTACATACATTCTGGTATTGTTTTGAGATTTCTTCTATCTGCTCATTACCCAACAGTTCCTAAATAGTACATCAAAAGGAAATTAGTACTAATACATTTGAAAACAAAGATGCACATTGGCATTTGGTAAGAGTCTGGAAAGTCTCACTCAGAGCTTTATTAAGTAATGAGCTGATACTTAAGAGTGAAGAAATCTGGAATATGTAGCTTTTCCATCTACCAAAGAGGGGCATTCTCACAGCCAGTCTACTGGTGAAAAAGAGAAGGTGTAAACTGAGGCCTGGTCCCCACTAACCCCCCACTTCGGACTAAGGTACGCAAATTCAGCTACGTTAATAACGTAGCTGAATTCGAAGTACCTTAGTCCGAACTCACCGTGGGTCCAGACGCTGCAGTGAGGCTCCCCCGTCGATGCCGCGTACTCCTCTCGCCGAGCTGGAATACCGGCGTCGACGGCGAGCACTTCCGGGATCGATTTATCGCGTCTAAACCAGACGCGATAAATCGATCCCAGAACATCGATTGCCTGCCGCCGGACCCTCCGGTAAGTGTAGACGTACCCTGAGGGACTTCAACTATTTATCCAGATGCTTCAAGTCAGAATAAGAACATTTGCAGATCAGGTCCTTGCCCATTCATCTATATATAAACTGGACACTTAGTTCTATAAAAGGCAATTTGATGAGGCACTATTATGAGAAGGTCTTTTAAAATGTTCTTGTCCATTAAGTTAATTTTAGCATGGCTAGTTCTATTTTACCCTATTTCCGGTGACTGCCTTACTGCTTAGAAACCTTATATCATTAGAAACGGATAATTAGCAAATGACAAGTGGAGGGCATATCAAGTCATTTATAAAACTTAAGAAATTTTTAAAATACCTTTTTAAGTTGCTGGATTGTCCGCTGTTTCATATCTAGTTCCTCAGCAAACTGGTTTTTAGTTTTCTCATGTTCATTAACTTTGCTTCTCAGTAATTTCTCCTCTGAACGCATTGTGCACACCTGCAAAGCAGTCCATGTCGTAAAAGGATAAACAAAAGTCCACAATTAATTGTCCTATGTTTGTTTGGTTTTTAGATGGCATAAATGGATTGTATTTACTAATGACAATCTTTCAAATAATTAGACGATTCTGCATTATTCTGAAAAATGCAGGTGCAATATACTACATTTTCATCTTAATTAATAAAGAGGTCTGATCACTGCATGGGAAGATTTACTGTATTCAACAGATATCAATGCAGGTAGCTTTGTCAAGTAAAAATTTCAGCTATATGTATAAAACTAAGAAGCTAATCTTTTAATTTTAAACGGTAGAGTTTTAAAAAGAAATTTTGGTTGACATTTGATCTCAGGCCTTTCCTGATGCTTCACAAGTGGTTCAGCATTAAATATTTAGGATGCTGGTTAGATGAAGGACAAGAAGTGCTATTATCCTGGGCAGACAGCAATACATGTAATTAACCACTAGTGCAAGACTCCACACTTTAGCCTGTATTTAAAATGCAAAATGGCTATTTGCTTGCAGTAAGCATTCCATTTTAATTATGCTATTGCTTGGTAGTTACCTATTAGTCACTAATACAACTAGAAGTTATTCTCTTTCATTTCCTTTCACAGATCAATGGAATTTGTAACCTTCATTTTTACCTTTTCATTTTCAGGTTCACTTTTACTCTAGGTTCAGAATTCTAAATCTAAAGACGTTAAAATATTGTTTTAATATTAAATGCTTTAACAATTCATATAACCAAAGATATTTGAGAGCAAATATTTGATTAGCAGAGCCCTACATTTAATCTGCAAAAGAAATAGGTTTCCTCTTATGATTACAGACCTCTTTCTGTACTTGCTCAATTTGTTTCTTAGCATCAGCTAGCTTTTCTTTCAGATCTGTATACTCCTCATCTTTCCTCTGACAATCCATTTCTAGACGCTGTATGAAGGCAGAACTCTCAGAGAGTTCTTTATTTAACCTGGGGGTGGAAGGTGGGAAAGAGAAGGAAGGATTAAATATCATTAAGGAAGTTAAAAGAAACTATTATAGAGGAAGGAGTTGTAAGCTGCAAAGTAATGTTTAATTGAAAATCTTCAGTGTGTCTTTGTTTTTTGTTTATTTTTTAAAGGACACATTTCTATTAGGTTTTACACTTTTTTTTTTAAACTCAAAAAGCCCTGAACTTTGGAACAAAGCTACCTTAGAGAGTTCCTTTAATGTTCCATAAATATAAATGCAAACAAAAACATATAAAATGGAACTTCTACCCTGTGATTTAATTAGGGAAGAGGCCTTTCAGCATTTTACAAACTTAGGGCCCAATTCTGTCATCCTTACATTAAGTAGTACTTTATACTTCATAAGCCCCTTTGATTTAAATGGGACTACTTGATCAGTAAGGTGCTACTTACTCAACATGAGTAGACAGACTTGAAGGCCAGATAGGATCATCATGATCACAGAGTCTGACTTTCAGTACCTTGCAGGTCACAGAACCTCACACCTCCTCTCCTTTAATAGACCCCTAACTGCTGGCTGAGTTACTGAAGTCCTCAAATCACAATTTAAAGACATCAAGTTACAGAGAATCCACCATTTACTCTAGTTTAAACCTGCAAGTGACCAGTGCCCCAAGTGCAGCGGAAGGCGAAAAATCCCTAGGGTCTCTGCCAATCTGACCAAAAGGAAATTCCTTCCCAATCCCAAATATGGCAGACAGTTGGACCATGAGCATTTCAGCAAAAACCAATGGCCAAACATCTGGGAAAGAATTCTCTGCAATAACTCAGAGCCCTCCCCACCCAGTGTCTCATCACCAGCCTTTGGGGATATTTGCTATTAGCTGTCACAGATCAGCTACATGCCACTATAGGCAATCTCATCATTCCATCCCCTCCATAAATTTATCAAATTCAAGTCTTGAAGCCAGTTAGGTTTTTGCCCCCACTGCTCCCCTTGAAAAGCTGTTCCAGAACTTCACTCATCTGATGGTTAGAAACTTTCATTTAATTTCAAGCCTAAACTTGTTGAGCGACAGTTTATATCTATTTGTTCTGGGGTCCACATTGGTGCTTCACTTAAATAACTTCTCTCCCTCCCTGGTATTTCTCTCTCTGATGTATTTATAGAGAGCAATCATATCTCACTTCAGCCTTCTTTTGGTGAGGCTAAACAAGCCAAGCTCTTTGAGTCTCCTCTCATAAGGTAGGTTTTCCATTCCTCGAGTCATCCTAGTAGCCCTTTTCTGCACCTGTTCCAATTTGAATTCATCTTTCTTAAACATGGGAGATAACAATTGCACACACTATTCCAGATGAGGTCTCATCAGCGCTTTGTATAATGGTACTAACACTTCCCTGGCTCCATTGGAAATACCTGACCTGATGTGTCCTAGGATTGCATTAGCCTTTTTCACTATTAAATTTAATTCCATTTCTATTACTCCAGTTTTCTGTACTATACTCCAAAAACTATCCCAGGTGAGCCTCTGGTAGCCTTCTTCCCCAAAGTCATTTTGATCCAAACAGACCGTTTTATGCATTCCATCACTTCTGATTTTTTTAGTGTACTTCATCATTAATATACAATGCTACTCCACCACCTTTACCATTATTTCTATCTTTCCTGAATAGCACCTACCCTTCAATACCTGTACTCCTGGCATGACTACTATTTCACTCTGTTTCTATTATCTTTATAATATTTGGATTCACTTTCTGCACCAGTAGTTCTAGTTCCTCCATTCTGTTACCCAGGCTCCTTGAATTGGTGTACAAACATCTTAGTTCTGTTTGCTTGGCTTTACCCAGATTCCTCATCCGATTAGGTAGTCATTCTACTGCCAGTATCGCCTACCTGTTAGCTTCATTGGAACTATCTTTCCTCTTAATGTCCATTCTCCTACACACTGCTGTTCTTTTCTCCATTGCTATATTCTCTTTCTTGATTTTCCTTCCGGTCAATATTAGAATCAGGCGTGGAGATTACATGAGCATCTCCCAACCACTTCCCCCAGATTCCAGTTTAAAGCTCTTTTAATCAGTTGTGCTGACCTCCATCCCTGAAGTCTACTTCCCTCCCTACTCAGGTGGGAAAGAACTGTCCTTTGTCCGTGAAGGCCTCCCAGTGGTCAAACATTCTGAAGCCTTCCTTATAGCACCACTGCCTTAGCCATCTGAGGATTATCATAATCTTGTTTTACCTTCGTTCTCCTCCTCCAGGGTCAGGTAAAGGGGGTGCAATTATGCCTCAGGCTGGTTCCACTCTCCTACACTCATTTCCTGTTTAAGTTTTCATACTACATCCATCACCAAGTTATCCAAGTGTTTACCAAAAATTGCTGTTATCATATAACAATTATTTACATTTTAATATTTTGGACCTAGGTCAAGAGTTACCTGCTTTAAAAAAATTGCCTTATATGAAGCTTCTGCTCCAACATTTGCACCTTCTACTCCAAAAAGGTTATTTAGTATCAGGATTTCTAACAGGTAGGCTTATATAAAAGTTTTTCTTGCCTATCATTTCCATACAAGAAGTAGATGGTAGATGAATATTAACAGAGCTCCAACTGCAGAGTCCATTTTAATACAGGAACTACTTTAGTTCACAGAAAGATTGCACACAAGCGTAGTCTACAATAATTAGATATACGGTATTAAACTGATGCAGGAGACCTTAAACATACCAGGCTCCCCTTATTCACATTCTGAGAGTGCCTTAAACACAAGCTCTTTTCTAGGAGACACTTGAATCCAGTGGATAAAGTGAATAAAATAAATACTCATGATTGTACCATATTTACTTAGCCTGAAAAATCATTAAGCATCTATGTCTATTTCACTAGTGGAGATATAATTTATAGTTAGAAATAATTGTTATAATTAGGGCAAAAAGATGCGTTATCATAATGTGCAAAAAACCTGATCAGACAATCTCCACCTGACAAGATATTCTACTGTGACTTTTAGAGGGGAACCAACCCAAAATGCAACCCAATAAAAACCCCAACCCCAAAAACCTAATTTACTGCACAAGGTAGGAACATTGTAAAAAATGTGGAGAAGTTAGAAATAGTTCCCTATTGAAAACAAGTTAGTACACTTGGTACGAGTATTACCTTGTAAAATGGATTGCTTTTACTGCTAATTACAAGTTTAATTGCAATGTCTACATTTGTACTCATGTTTCCTTCCATGTATTGGTGCTACAGGCAGGAATTTACTTACTGGGTTTTATACACTATCAAGACATACAATTAAACAAGTGAAAAAATAGCCAGTAATGTGTACAAATGATTTTCAAAGAGAAATTTTAGTATCTAAACCACTTCTTAGCAGTTTAATCTGGATGAGTACCTGAGTGTTATTTGGAACTGAGCGGGTGCACATTCAAACTAGGTTTCATATCAAGTGTCTATTCAATGCTGTACTTACTGTTCTGTAACTTTTTTTGATTCTTCTTCTTCTCTCTCCTTTTCCTGAAGTGAATGTTCAATAGTTTTCAAGTTATTCTTCAATTGTATGACTTCCTCCTTCAGTTCTGTTTCTTGATCATTTAAATCTTGGATTTTTATTTCTGAATTCATACATTTCTTTTCAAGGTCTTTTACATCGCTTTCCATCTTTAAAATGATAGAGTCTTTTTCCTTAAGTATTTGTTCTAACCTGGCTGCATTGTCATCTTTAGCCCTATTAGACTCCAAGAGGCATTCAAGTTCTTTTATTTTCTCCTTGTGACTGGCACTTTGTTTCTCAAGTTGGGTAATTGCTCTTCTATCTTCAGCCCCACGTTTTTCAGACTCACAATTTTTTTCCTGTAATTGTTCTTGTAACTGATTAACAAGGTTCTCCTTTTCCTTTATGGACAAATTACTCTGATTTGTAGTGTCATCCAATTGTACTTTTAGTTGTTTGTTCTCACGCTCAGCCTCACTGATGCTCTTTTGTAAATTTTCAACTTGTTGAAGGAGTTCTTGGATCTGATTACTTTTTTGGGAAGAGGCCTTAATAATTTGCTTGCACTCTTTCCAAATGCCTTCAATACTGCAATGGAAAGAGCTCTCTCGCCTGACATCTGCAATATTAGATGTTTGGCACTGTGTGTTTAAGGAATGCATTTGAATTTTCCCTGGTTTATCTTTTTGAGAATCTTCCAAAAAATCCTTTAGATTGACCAGATCAACATCTACAGTACAAGATTCTAAATCAAGTTTATGCAACTCGTCTATCTTTGTCTGCATTGCTTTTATTTGTGACACTTTGACTATGATATTTTGACTAGAGGCTTCTACCTCTTTAGTCAGTTGTTTAATCTTCTCCTCTTGCTCTTTATTTATAGCTTTTTGTGTGTCTAATTCAGAAGCTATTTTCCCATAACTAGCCTGACACTGCTGGAGTTCCTCACTTAAACCAGAAGCCCTTTCTTTTGAAGAAGATAGCTCCAGGCACAAGTTTGCCATCTGTCTACTGAACCCTTCTTTTTCCCTTTTTTCATTTGTAAGTTCTTCTTTAAGTATAGCTAATTGACAGTCAAGGGATTCACTTCTTTCCTGTAATGCTAGTATTTCTGCCTCTTTTTCTAAAATGTTTTGTTGCATTTCTTCAATTTTCTTTTGCTCTATTGCATCACCTTTACATGCACTTCTAATGGACCCTATAAAAAGAAAAATAAGTATCACTTTATTGCTCTTGAAAGCAAAAATGACATTAATAAGTCATTATACATATCAAGAAGTAATTTTCAAAACTTTGTGGGAGATTTTGGCTGGTTTAGTAAACCTTAAATCCTCACATTATGCAATACTTTGAAGTTTGGCCTTTAAAAGTGATCCCAAAACCTGGAAGCTACTTGTTTGACCAGTACTACAGATAGTATCTGCCTTAGACTTCCAGACAGGGTGTGCATTATCTAGATTTTCAGTAAGCCAGAATATGAATGGCTTGACACTGATTTGTGCTCTGTTCAGGTTCCCAATCTGCTGCAGTGATGGTAAAACTTTGTGATGTCTACTGCGCAAAAAAACCTACCTGACAGTCAACCATCCCCCATTTTCCACCTTAGCTGGTCCAACAATCTTACATCCTACAGATACGCCCATCTGCCAGATGCGGAGAGAAACTAGGAGTTTGCTGGATTGTGTAAACTGTCCACAGCTCTGCCACAAGCAACAACTGTCTGCTGAATCTTTAAGTAAATGGCATCTAATGCCTTTCCACCATGTGCTGAAGGTTTGCTTTCCCAAATCTGCTTCTGATTTAACACAATGGCAGCTTAAGGGTTAGTAGAGAAGGTATCTTAGAAACCTCAAATTTGTGTGCAGATGGAAGTAGAGAAAGGAGGCCAAAATAGTAAAACAGATTTCTGCACTGCCTTCCTCACACACATATGAAGAAATATTCCTGAAGAGAAAATGTTGAGAGTTTTGAGACCTCAAAAACCTTCAAGGGTACACACAGCTCTCAAAACACACACACAGACTGAGCTCCACCTTGAAAATATTTTTGTTTTTATTACACTAAGGCTGATTAACTCTAACAATGAGCAACTGCTACTCCCATTGATATCAGTTAGAATCACTTCTGAAAAAATTGGGAAAATTTTCTAGTGCAACCACACATAATGCAGTGTTGGGGTGTAGTCCCCTGGTCAAATACATATGCTTATTGCAAATGTTAATTTATATTTAGAAATTGGCAGGGAAAAGTGTTTTTACAGAATATAAAATCAGTGTAGAAAATAGTGCAGTGTGCAAACACAGTAAGTTGGAGGTAGAACTACCATTAGTGTACTTTGTAAATTTACAGCAGTACACCTTGAGGAGATACTTCTGAACTAGCATCAGTGTGTGTAGACACACATGTGGAAGTAACTTTCATGTGCTAAGTTGAAGCAGCATTGATAAAGTGATGACTATTATGCATATCTATGGCAAATAATCCATTGACCCAAGACTGGTTTATTATAGAAGCCTTAATAACTTTAGTCGACCACCTTAAAAAAAAAAAAAAAAAAAAGCTTCCAGGGGTCTATTTCCTCCTTTCCCCCATAAATTTAGAATCCACCCCACCAAGAATTACTCCTGCAGGACAGACAGGATAAGCAAGCAATAGCTTTACTAACAGAAGTGTCATGGCTTTGGAGTCAGACCTCGCAAGCCAGCAGTGGATAGAAACCAGCATTAGAAACACTGGAAACGGAAATGGCCAGTTTCCTGTTGAGACCCAGCACTCTTTCCTTGACTGGGCCCACGAATCAGACTTATATAAAAACCATCATGTATTCTCTATATTAAGAGATGTAATAAAATTATACTACTGATACAGAGAAAGGTGTATGTGGCTTATGTTCTCTGAATGGAATGGATAAAAGAAAAGGCATAGTCCGACACCCACAGTATTACTGTGACAGTTTTGTATGTTAGAGAAAGCCCTAGAATCAATTTCAAATATTTTAAGGTGCTTTATAATTGACAGCTAAGATCATTTGGGGAACTTTGTTTATATTACTGTAAGAGGGTACATGACTTCCAACTTAGACAGCCAACCTGCATGAAGAGAATTTCTTAAGAATTTCTCATTTATTATAGGAAAGGCTGCAGGATAGTTAAAACTAAAATTTGTTTTTCACCTTAAGTCTTTATTGCTAAAATTTACATTCTCTCTCTGTGAAAGGTGATTTTTTAAGCAAAGTTTGAGGAAGTTGGCCATTTTTGAGTTATGTACTTAAGGAGAAGCAAAAATTCTCCAAACACTTTTTTGAGACAGTCAACCAACTGACCTTTAAGATTTGACTGAGTGCTCTTTAAAGAGAATACCCAAGTTTTGTGTTTTGAAAAGTTTGCATTTCCTGACTGTACAACTGTAACAGTAGCATTAATGTACCACTTTGCATTCTATCTGGTTTCCTGTTCCATGCTAAAAATTAGTATTTATAAAACTGTCATCGGGCACGAATACCAAGATTAAAGCAGGTATCAGATACAGTTTGCTATAGCAAGGGGCTTAATGTTCGCTTAACTTTGTCATCACCTTCTCCCCTCTTGGCATTTACATGGGTTGGTCCATAAGGTGGTTCCATGCAGAGCCAAGGTTGGCCCTAACCAACATGTGTGAAGGTCTTCACTGGCATCTCAGTTCCTTCTCTTGTCAGAGAAAGCAGATCAGCAGCTTGGTCACCTCCTATGCGCTAGACCTATGGAACTTGCTATTACCACTCCTCCTTTGTTCAACATGGCCCTGAAGGGAGTGCCCTTCAACAGCTGTTACTTCTCAATCCCATGGTGGGGGCTGGGCTACCTGCACCTCCATGTTTTGCTTCCCATTTTACCACCAGATAGCAGAGGCTAGGTAGCTCTAAATCCATCTGCACATGTTAACTGGGGAAGCCTTTAGATCCTTACTTGAGGGAAGGAAAGAGGAAAAGCCTCTAGGCTGCCCCATTGCCTCCTTTCCTTGATTCTTGTTTGGGGTCAACATATTCCTATCTGCAATCCCCACTCAGGCTGTGTAGATGCTGCACCGATTATTTGAGGCCCCTTAGCTTGTAGGAAGGCATCTACATGATCCTTGACAGTCAGAGTCCAAGCAAGCTTGGAGAACAGGGGGATTTCAAAGCTGCAGCTACTGAACAGCTATGTAGATATATGCCATACAAGAGTTGAATGCCTACTTAATGCAGTTTCCAGCAGTAAAGAGATGTTTTATGAGAAACACCAGATCCCAAAATGAAGTTGAGTTTTACCATTATCAGCTTTACATATTATATATAGATTTTTACATGTTTCTATATACTGACCTAATGAAACACCTTGCACAGAAGTGTGTACAGCACCTACATACTATATGACAGAATAGATCATAGACTGCATTGACACTTCTTCAGACAGTTTTAAAAAGAGCTTAGGCAGGAAAATGCTAGGTTTAAGAAGGTTAACAGCAAGCTTGGCAGAAAAACAACAGTTAAACATGCCAGTTGTAGGTAAAGTCCACTCTAACAGAAATATCTTGACTACATCAGAATTTGCAAATGTATTAGCAAACATAGCAAAGGGGAAGCAAGACATCTAAAAGCAGTTTTTATTTTAAGATTTTAGAGGCAACACACAAGACAATGAAAATAAACAGTTACTTCCATTTAGCATTTAATGTTGCTGACTTTCTTCTCCTCAGACGATAAAGTTTACGAATTGCGAATTTTTGCTTTTGCTCTGGCATTGGAATCAGATTTTTTCGGAAAGCTCCCTGTTCGGCTGTGGTAGAAATGGTACCTTTCTTTGTAGGTGGCTCTTCCTCTTGGGTAGGCTTACTTTCAAAACAGCGTTTTCTTCCTACATCCAACACATGCTTCACACTTTCACTAGACTGAGTGCCTTCTATTGTCCCATTGCTGTTCTCCTTTGCCATTTGTCTTTTAATGGTAGTTACAGTGTTGTCCTATGTTTAAATAAAATTAGTTACCACCTGCCATTATATAAAACAAGCAGCCAACATGTTACAAGCAATAAATAATCTCAATTTAATATGAAAACAAAAAATGAGACACAAAGCCATATAACATCTTCCTACAAGGATTTTTGTTGAAAAAAAAAAAAAAAAAAATTGTCAGCTATAGGTTGCCTTTTCTGTGGGCAATAAAGAGGTGTACAATGCTTTGGAGTACAGAACACAGTGCTTTTTCTTTTCTTCCCCTTTGTGCTAACAGATAATACACATGAATCAGAGGGATTATGTATTCCATTAAGAGAACAGTAATGTGTGTCAAAAGCTACAGAAACTGTTGATTCCTTCAGAAAGCATTTGGGTGACTTTTACAAAAAATTTTTTTTACACTTTCTGTCATCTTCTCAAAAGTGAAAGTTCTTAGTAACAGTCTTAACCCTTCCTCCAATCAACAGTACTCGATGTACTTTCTAGTTAGGTTAGAAATGCCCGTGATAAATATTAAGTCCAAAGGATAGTTTGGCAAATGCTTTAATTTCTGCTATGTACTATAAATTTGACCAAATATTAAGACCAGGCTGGCCAGAGAGTAGATATGTTGCCGTCTTATCTAAAAACACCATGTGGTTATAGCACTTCATCTTCACACTATCATGTCATTAAATAAGACTGGTGGACAGACAGAGTTAAGGTTTGTTTTTTTAATAGTTCTATACCTGTAGATCGGTCAGGTGTGAAAGCATGGTATGGACAGTTCACTTTGGGGAAATTAATTGGAGAATGAGAAGATGACAGGAGCCATATCTTGTGTAATCCTAAGAAGTTTTGGAGTATAGGTATAACCCTCAAAAGTGGTCGCACTACTGAAAAACTGAAGGGCAGGAATAAGATGAGAGTGTTAATTTGCATCCCCTAATGTACTTTATGGAATAAATCAAAGTGGATGCTTATACCTAACATAGCTGCAAACATAAGATCATTTTAACATGCACATTGTATTTCTCTGGAAGATTGTTTCAGGCTAGTTGACAATTAGTGTGTGCATCAAAGTCCAGTAAGTCACTACCACCAATGTACTTATAGGCCCATACCATCCCAAAGGCTTTCAGTGGTTACAACCATTGTACATCGCTACTAAGTCAGTCAACCATTTCAAAGGCAGGGAAGAAAAGAATGGTGGTGTAGAATGGGTAGCCTGGACCAATCTCATTCTGTATCTGAATGGAGGGATGGTGATCAGGATACCTCTGGAATATCTGCTTTGTCTCCAAACATTTCTGACCTCCTCTTCTCCTGCTTCCTCTACCTCCATGCCCCCACTGAAACTTGGCTCTCAGTGCAACAATGTCTCTCTTACTGCTCCTTCTCTCCCACACCGTAATCAAAAAGAATGACGGTGATGGTGCTGGGGGCTGCTGCTTTCCCTCCATCTCTAACTCATTTCTTGCTATGTGCTTTTTCCTCTGAATTGCTCACCAAAAAGTCTCCTTTAAATAATCTATTGCTCCCCCTCCTCCCAAAGCTTTATTTCTTCTTCATTTCAGTCTCCTATTTAGTCTGACTTTGATGATGTCATACCTCTAGCTTCCTGCCCAACACTTCTTTCCATCTTCAACTGTAGATTCATTCTCCCAAATAAAATGGCCACTCCGCAGACCTATCCCTCGGCCATCTTGGCTAATAGCCATTTGATGGACCTAACCTCCATGAATTTATGTAATTCTTTTTTGAAGCCAGTTATACTTTTGGCCTTCATAACATCCCCTGGCAACTAGTTCCACAAGTTGACTGTATGTTGTGTGAAGAAGTACTTCCTTTTGTTTTAAACTTATCACTTTCATTGGTTTGTGTGTGAAGGGGTAAATAACTTCACTACGCACTTTCTCCAAACCATTTGTGATTTTATAGACCTCTATCATATCCCCTCTTTCTAAACGGAACAGTACTAATCTTTTTAATCTCTCCTCATATGAAAAGCTCTTCCATACCCCTAACCATTGTTGTTGCCCTTTTCTGCACATTTTCCATTTCTAATACATCTTTTTTAGGATTGGGTAACCAGAACTGCACTCAGTATTCAAGGTGTGGGCATACTATGGATTTATATTGTGGCATTAGGATATTTAGCATTGTATCTATTCCTTTCCTAATGGCTCTTAAAATGGTCAGCTTTTTTGACTGACGCTGCACATTGTGGATAATTCTTTGAAAACCATCTGCTCAGTGACTCCAAGATCTCTTTCTGAGTGGTAACAGCTAATTTAGACCCCATCATTTTGTATGTGTAGTTAGGATTATGTTTTCCAATGTGCATTACTTTGCATTTATCAACACTGAATATCATCTGCCATTTTGTTGCCCAATCACCCAGTTTTGTGAAAACCCTTTGTAAGTCGAAAACAGACTGCGAAGAGTTAACTATCTTGAGTAAAAAAAAAAATTTGTCTGCAAACATTGCCACCTCACTGTTTGCCCCTCTTTCTCCAGACCTTTTATGAATAGGTTGAATAGCACTGGTCCCACTACAGATCCTTGGGGGACACCACTATTTACCTCTCTCTATTCTGAGAGCTAATCATTTATTCCTACACCGTTTCCCATCTTTTAACCAGTTATTACAAGCATTAAAAGTTAAATTAAGTTTTGTACATTTTAAGAAATGAAGAGCCGAAAACTTACATAGTCCTTTACTGTAGTTTCTAAATGGGATATTAAGTCCTGTAGTCTACTTATAACATCATCTTTTTGCTCCACAATGTGCATTAGCTCTTGAATCCGTTTATTCTGTGTCGTCATTTTCTTCAAGAAGAGAAAAGTTACATTTTTACTAGGTTTTAGATAACAGGAATCCATTGCAACTAGGGCTGTCGATTAATCACAGTTAACTCACACGATTAATTCAAAATTAATTGCAGTTTTTTTAATCATACCATTAAACAATAGAATACCAATTGAAATTTATTAAAGATTTTGGATGTTTTTCTACATTTTCATATATATTGTATTCTGCCTAGTAACCGAAATCAAAGTATAGATTATTTATTACAAATATTTGCACTGTTTGAAGTGAATTGAAAAATACTATCTAACAAGTACCATCTTTGCCATGAAAGTGTAACTTACAAATGTAGATTTGTGTTACATAACTGCACTCAAAAACTAAACAATGTAAAACTTCAGAGCCTACAAGTTCACTCAGCCCTACTTCTTCTTCAGTCAATTGCTAAGACAAACAAGTTTGTTTCAATTTACAGGAGATAATGCTGCCCTCTTCTTATTTACAATGTCGCCAGAAACTGGGAACAGGCATTTGCATGGTACTTTTGTAGCTGGTATTGCAAGGTATTTATGTGTCAGATACGCTAAACATTCATATGCTCCTTCATGCTTCGGCCACCATTCCAGAGGACATGCTTCCTGACGCTCGTTAAAAATATAATGAGTTAATTAAATTTGTGACAACTCCTTGGGGGAGAATTATAGGTCTCCAGCTCTGTTTTTCCCGCCTTCTGCCATATATTTCATGTTATAGCAGTCTCGGATAATGACCCAGAACATGTTGTTCAGTTTAAGAACACTTTCACTGCAGATTTGACAAAAATGCAAAGAAGGTACCAATGTGTGATTTCTAAAGATAGCTATAGCACTCGACCCAAGGTTTAAGAATCTGAACTGCCTTCCAAAATCTGAGAGGGACGAGGTGTGAAGCATGCTTTCAGAAGTCTTAAAAGAGCAACACTCCGATGTGGAAACTACAGAACCTGAACCACCAAAAAAGAAAAAAAATCAACATTCTGCTGATGGCATCTGACTCAAATAATGAAAATGAAAGGACAGTTTCCTGTTCCATAACTAGCATTCTTCGAGATGTGTTGCTCCTGTCTATTCCACAGTAGGTGTGCGTGCTCACCACGTGCACTGGTGCCGGAAGTTTTTCCCTTAGTAGTACCCGTACTGGGGGAGCACCATGGCGACCCCTGGAGTGGCGCCTGTATATTGCGCTATAAGGGGAGCCACGGGCTCCCCCCCACCTTCTGTTCCTTCTTGCCGGACAACTCCGACAGAAGAGAAGGAGGGCAGGGTGTGGAATAGACAGGAGCAACACATCTCTAAGAACACCAGTTACGGAACAGGTAACTGTCCTTTCTTCTTCGAGTGATTGCTCCTGTGTATTCCATAGTAGGTGATTCCAAGCAACATCTGTTGGAGGTGGGTAGGAGTTCATGATGATTCGGGACGAAGTACCGCCCTGCCGAACCTGGCGTCATCCCTAGACTGGGAGATGATTGCATAATGCGAAGTAAATGTGAGAACTGAGGCCCAAGTGGCCGCTCCACAAATGTCCTGGATGGGGACATGGGCGACGTAGGCAGCTGATGAGGCCTGAGCCCTCGTAGAGTGTGCCCTGACGATCAGTGGCGGGGAAATCCCTGCCAGATCATAGCACATGCGTATGCATGAGGTGACCCAGCGGGAAAGTCGCTGGGTGGAGATAAGCTGCCCCTTTGCCTGCTCGGCCGAGGCAATAAAGAGTTGAGAGGATTTCCGAAACGGCTTAGTCCGATCCAGTTAAAAAGCCAACGCCCTACGCACATCGAGCGTGTGGAGGCGGCGTTCCTCATTAGAGGAGAAGTGGGGCTTAGGGCAGAGCATGGGGAGAAAGATGCTCTGCTCCATATGGAAGGCGGAGACCACTTTCGGGAGGAATGCCGGGTGTGGGCGGAGCTGGACTTTACCCCTATGGAAAACCATATAGGGAGGTTCTGAGGTTAAGGCCCTGAGCTCCGAGACACGTTGGGCCAACGTGATCGCCACGAGGAAGGCCAACTTCTACAAGAGGTGCGACCAGGAACACATGGCCAGGGATTCAAAGGGGGGGCCCGTGAGACGGGACAAGAGCAGGTTGAGGTCCCATTGCGGCACGCGGGGCCTAGCGTACGGGAAGTCATCTAGTGGGAGAAGACCGAGTGGCCTTGCACCGGCGGGTGAAAGGCCAATATTGCCGCCAGGTGCACCCTGACTGAGGCAGGTGCCAGTCCCTGGGCCCTAAGGGATAAGAGGTAGTCTAGGATAAACTGGAGAGGTGTGGCAGAGGGGGAGACTCCCCGCTCACTCGCCCACCTGGCGAACCTGGATCACTTTGCCACGTATGTCTGATGCGTGGACGGCTTCCTGCTTTCCAGGAGGACTCGCCTTACCTGCTCTGAACACCTATTCTCTCCTCATTCAGCCACGGTTAGGTGAAGTGCGGCCAGATTGGGATAGAGGAGGCGCCCCCTGTCCTGGGAGAGAAGGTCCGGGCGGAGCAGTAGCGCCCTCGGGGGAGCCACCAAGAGGCGTAGAAGGGGCTCAAACCAGTGCTGGCGGGCCCACGCCAGGGCTATGAGAATGACTCTCGCCTTGTCCGCTTTCTCTTTCTAAAGGACCTTGGCGATGAGGGGGAACGGGGGAAAGGCATAGAGGAGCTGGCCCAACCAGCTCAGGAGGAACGCGTAGGAGATCACGCATTCCTCCACCCCTCCCCTGGAGCAGAACCGGGGGCAATGCCGGTTCTGGCGGGTTGCAAACAGGTCGATCTGGGGAGCTCCCCACTCTTGGAAGAGCCAGTGAGCGACCTCCGAGTGGAGCAAACACTCGTACTCGGGGGAGAAGACCCTGCTGAGGCAGTCCGCTTGCGTATTGCAGACGCCCGGGAGGTGAGCCGCCCTCAGGGAGATATCGTGGGCTATATAGAACTCCCATAGGTTCAGGGCTTCCTGGCAGAGGGCTAGGGAGTGAGTCCCGCCTTGCCTGTTGATATAGTACATGGCAGCGGTGTTGTCCGTGAGGACTCTGACCACCCTGCTGCGGAAGTGCATGAGGAAAGCCACGCACACCAAATGGACTGCCCTGAGCTCCTTGACATTTACGTGAAGGGTCAAGTCCAGGGTCGACCACGTTCCCTGGGTTTGCGAGTCCCCCGTGTGGGCTCTCCAGCCGAGGTCTGAAGCATCGGACATCAGGTCTATGGACGTGTTGGCTTCCCTGAAGGGAACCCCTTGCTGCATATTGCTTGGGCAGGACAACCATAGGAGGGAACCCGGTATCAGGGAGGGAACCGTGAGGACCTTGTCCAGACCGTCCCAAGCTTGGGAGAATTGGGAGGCCAGCCATATCTGGAGAGGCCTCACATGGAGTCTGGCACAGCAGATCACGTAAGTGCACACCGCCATGTGTCCCAGAATCCGAAGACACGCCCTCGCCGTGGTCAATGGGAAGGCCGTGACCGAGGCGATGAGATCCCTTAGGGTCTTGAACCTGTCCAGGGGAAGAGAAGCTGTGGCCCTCGAGGAGTCCAGCAGGGCCCCAATGAACTCTATGCACTGAACGGGCACTAATATTGATTTGGTCTCGTTCACGACAAGGCCTAGATCAGTGCATGTCAACAGGAGCAGCTCCACGTGGGACTCCATTTCGAAACGAGACTCTCCCTTGAGGAGCAAGTCCTCCAGGTAAGGGAAAATTTGTACCCCCTCCCGCCTGAGGTAGGCCGCCACCACAGACATCCAGAGTTTTCACGAAATGTGAGCCATGGATAGGCCAAAAGGGGAGGACCGCAAATTGGTAATGGTCCATCCCTACCATGAATCGGAGGAAGCACCTGTGCCCCTCAAAAATATGGGGGTGAAAATACACGTCCTGAAGGTCCAGGGCCGCGTACCAGTCCCCCGGGTCCAGGGAGGGGATAATAGAAGCCAGGGACACCATGTGGAACTTGGAACGGGTTAGGAACCTGATCAGGTCGTGCAGGTCCAGAATGGCCCTGAGACCCCCTTTCGCCTTTGGGATCAGGAAGTATCGGGAGTAGAACCCTTTGCCCTGGAACTGAACCGGTACCCTTTCCACCGCCCTCAGGACGCAGGAGGCAGACATGGTCCGGGTTCTCCGGGGCCATCACGGAGGGCGGGTGATTTGGCGGGGGTGAGGTGAACTGCAACACGTAGCCCTTGGAAATGGTACTGAGGACCCACTGATCCAAAGTTATGCGGGACCACGCCCTGAGGGAGGCAGACAATCGATTGCAGAACACAAACTTTATTAATTGGGGGAAGTCTCCCTGGCAACAGGCCCGGTACCCCCCTGCAAATAGTCAAAACCGCCTCTTTCCCTGCCTCTTGCCCTTAGAGGGTCCAGGCTGAGGGGCATAGCCGGACTGCCGCTGAGACAGACGCTTCTGGTCTCTGGGTCTTTTGTACGGGGGCTCATATCTGCTCCTCGCAGGTTGAGCCGCCAGAAGTGATTTGGCCTTGTCCTTAGCCAGAAGGAAAGAGGCCCAAGGTCTGCAAGGTGGTGTGGGAAGCTTTCATCCCATGCAGCCTGACGTCCGCCTGCTCTGCAAAGAGCGCCCTGCCATCGAATGAGAGGTCCTCCATCAGAGATTGGGCCTCCGTTGACAGCCCGGACAACAGGAGCCAAGACGCCCTGCGCATGGCGATCGCGGAAGCCATGGAGCTGGCCGTCATGTCAGCAGCATCTGACACCGCTTGCAGGGCTGCTTTAGCCGCCGCCAACTTCTCTTCCACCAAAGCCTTGAAGTCCTTCCTGTCCCGGTCCGGGAGGAGGGGCTCAAATTTAGGCAGAGACTCCCACAGGTTGAAGTCGTACCTGCTCAGTAAGGCCTGATGGTTGGCTACCCGAAGCTGGAAACTAGCCGACGAATAAAATTTTCTGCCAAAGGAGTCCAGTCTCCTGGTGTCTGTTTTTGGGGGTGGGCGCGGGCTGGTCCTGACGCTTTCTGTGGTTTACCGATTCCACTACGAGCGAGTTGGGTGCCGGGTGGGAATAAAGATATTCATGGTCCTTCGCTGGCACAAAGTATTTCCTCTTGGCCTTCTTGGAGATTGGGGCCAAGGAGGCGGAAGTTTGCCACAGTGAGTTTGAAATGTTGGCAATATCTTGGTGCAGAGGCAGGGCCATGCGGCCCGGTGCCGAGGGAGACAGGACGTTAAAGAGGGAATCAGAAGGACCCTCCATCTCCTCGGCCTGCAGCTGGAGGTTGTATGCCACCTGCTTTAGCAGGTCCTGGTGTGCCTTGAAGTCCTCCTACAGGATCGATGGCGGAGGCACCGCTATGGTGTCGTCCGGTGCCAGGGAGAGGGCCCGCACGGAGCCGGGCGCCTCGGTTGGTGCCGGGGCATCAAGACAGAGATCAGAGTCCTGGCGCGGGTCCGCCAACTCGTGACATGCCGACTTGTCCCGTGGGCGGCCGCAGGAGGCCGATGGAACCTGGGACAGTCCGGCGAACAAACGGGCCTCCATTTGGGCTGGCACCGATGGCCGCGGTGCCCACTGGCACCACTGTCCTTGCCATGGGGTCCCCTGCCATTGGCTCGGCTGAGTGCGCGATAGCAGCATGTGTCCCGGCAGAACGGCGTGGACCGAGGATGGGTGCTGAGGCCGAAGTCGGCGAAGAATGCTTGGTGCCCCGGGAGTGGTAGGAGCAGTGCCTGTGACGTCGTCTCCCTCGGGACCGGGATCTCGACTTCGAGGAGCAGTATCTATGTGACGAACTGCTCCGGTACCCGTGACGGCGATGCGAAGCCTGGTGCCCTGACGCCGAGGTACCCCGTGGGGAGCCTCTGGTGTGACGTCTAGTCGAGTGGGAACTGGAACGGGAACGCCGACGTCTGTCCCATCGAGAGCGGCTCCGTACCCACGCCTCGCAGGTGAGCGTTCCCGGTGCCTCTCTCGGTGCCTAAGCTCGCTGGCAGGCAGTGTAGAGGGTCCCCGCGACTCCCGTCCCGACGGCGGCTCAGACGGTCTGGCTGGCGTAGAGGGTGGCCAGGAGCTGTCAGAAGAGCGGCCGCTGCACGCCGAGCTGTGCGGGGAGCGATCCTCGGAGCGGGAACTGCGGCCGCCCGGAGAGGTCTGGTGGGCACCCAAAGGCATCGACGGCATCCGTACCGGTGGGGATGCCTGGGCCGACGGTACTGGGCTGCTCTGCTCCACGCGAGTCGGAGCTCTTGAGCCCAGGGATCGAGGGCTGCCCAGCGCGGGACCAACCTCCCCCTTATCCTTATCGTGGCATCGTTGCAAGGCCGGGCCCTTCTCTTGCTTTTTGGAGGGAGAGTGGCGCCGACTGGTCGAAGGGGCCTTGCTACGTACCAACGACGCAGCGGTCGGCGCCGAGTCCGATCTGCGTACCAGCGTTGGGGCCAGCACCGACTCCATCAGGAGAGCGCGAAGTCTAAAGTCTCTCTCCTTCTTGGTCCTTGGCTTGAATGACCTGCAGATCCTGCAACGGTCGCTAATGTGAGTCTCACCCAGGCAGCGAAGACACTCAGCGTGAGGGTCGCTCCTGGCCATAGAATGGCGACAAGAGTCGCACGACTTGAAGCCTGGGGCACGGGGCATGCCCCGAGCTCACTCTAACAACTGAAGAACGATCCACGAACGGTACCACTAAGATCGAGAAGAAGGGCTGCAGCAAAGCTGGAGCACAAAGTTCCAACTACCTTCACTGGTGGCAAGAAGGAACTGAGGGTGTGGGGAGCCCGTGAATCCCCTTATAGCGCGATATACAGCACGCACACCTACTGTGGAATATACAGGAGCAATCACTCGAAGAAGAACATGCGTCAATCTGCACTGCTTTGGATTGTTATCAAGCAGCACCAGTCATCAGCATGGACGCATGTCCCCTGGAATGGTGGTTGAAGACTGAAGGGACATATGAATCTTTAGCGCATCTGGCACATCAATATCTTGTGACGCTAGCTACAACAGTGCCATGAGAATGCCTGCTCTCATTTTCAGGTGACATTATAAACAAAAAGCGGGCAGCATTATCTCTTGAAAATGTAAACGAATTTGTTTGTCTGAACAAAAAGTAGGACTGAGTGGCCCTGTAGGCTCTAAAAAATTTTATGCATTTTTTTGTACATAATTCTACATTTGTAAGTTCAACTTTCATGATAAAGAGATTGCACTACACTACTTGTATTAGGTGAATTGAAAAATACTATTTTTTTTTTTACAGTGCAAATACTTGTAATCAAAAATATAAAGTGAGCACTGTACACTTTGTATTCTGTGTTGTAATTGAAATCAATATATTTGAAAATATAGAAAACCATCCAAAAATATTTATATAAGTAGTATTCTATTATTGTCTAACGGTGCAATTAATTTTTTTGATTGCTTGATAGCCCTAATTGTAACATGACTCCAAATCTTTTGCACTCAAAACACGCAATGAGAAACAAACCATAATAGTGCTAGGTCTATTCAGTTAAGCACACTATGAAATCAGACATTAAGCTATTGTAATTTTGTATGAATAATTAAAGCAGATGTTAGTTTCAGTGAATTTATTTCTCTTAAAAAGAGTTACCTCAGTAGCTTCTTCAAGTTGTTGAGCAGATTCACTTAATTTAATCACTTGCATTTCAAGCTCTGTAATCAAATAGAGAAACTGGTTTGCATTACATAGATTGCAAACTTGTAGTTCATTCACCAAGTTGGAAAAGTCTTTCTATAATAAGGTTTTAGTCATTTGCCAATAATTGAGATACACTGAGACTATTCCCCCCAGTTTGATTTAGCAATCTAAAATATTTTTTGATTTTCAAATGAATAATTTAAATAGTTTGGAAAAATAAATGCATATATTTCAACCAAAACGATCCAATAATTGCACTTTAAGCAAAAGGGTGGCTTCTTCCTGTAAGCCTGCTCACCGAGCCCTGCTCAAAGCAATAACTTTAATATCAGAGACCTTAATACATTAATGAGGATTGTAATTTTTTCCACTCTCCAATATAGGAAAGCTACCCCTCCGCCATGAAAAAGGCCACCAAACCCACAAGTGGGTAAGTGAATGAAATCCAGATGTATGTGTCTCTCTCACACACACGCCTTTCAGTTCTGGAAACAGGACACAATAATAGAGTCTGGAGTCAGGTTAGATAAGCCCACTTGTGTCCTGAGATACTGATTCACTTGCTTATTTGTTTTTCCAGCCTCTAACCTGTTAGGAAAGTTTCAATAATACCAAGTGTGCTGAAAATACATGACCATTCCTGTCTAGCTTGCATCAGCATTAAAGATTTTTGTTGCCCCCCCCCCCTTTTTTTTTTTAAAGGACAAAGTTATAAATTTCCACAGATTTCCTCTATTTTGATGCAACCAACAGGAGCACAAGCTCCTTCACAAGCAGAGATTTTAGGGTAGATATCTGAATCCACAATTTTAAAATGTTGTAAGAGAAAGAACCACCTCAATATTAAAACCAACATCTTTTCACCCTCTTCCTCACAGTTCAGCTTTTCTGTCTTTATTATTCAGGTTGACTAAACAATGGAAAGGTTTTTATAAAACTTCTCCAATCTCCTCCCTCCTTAGAGTGGTTCCATTTCTTTATTAAGTTTAAAACATAGTCTTTTTGGTTTTTAATGTTTAGTGCCTCTGCAGAGTAAGCCTATTGGAAAAAAATGCTATTCTATGTTGATCAGAGTCCTCTTGGTGCTCATTGCAAGATTTATAATTTACAGTAGTTGGATGTAAATGTAGAAAGTCCTCCTGAAAGTGCTGAGTGTTTCTGGGAAGGGGAGTCATATGTAAGCACTGATGTGACGCTCCATATTCTTTATAGACATATGCGGATTGTATAAATATGGCATAATTAAGATACATGAACCGCCTTCCATAAAATATAAGGTATCATTGGAAATGTTATGATTTACTGGATGTGATTCTCCTATTTGTATGCATGTATCATTTCTGTATCTGGAGTTAGGAATACTGACTATGTAACAATTACAACTGTGGTTATACTTGGAGATGCCCACCAGACAGTAAGCAAAGAGCCTTAATAGGCCATCAGGAAAAAGACAATGAGTCTTCAAAGATGTGAATCCCCCATCTTCCAGGACTTACTTCCTGTGAACACTGCAAATAAACCTGGTTTCATGGTTGCTTTGACACTGCAAGGTCAGGTGATAATGTCACCTGGTAAAAAGTACCACCTTGAACACTGCTTGTACTTTTCCACTAGAAACAAAGGCTTCCCGCCTTATGTAAATTCTGTTTAAGGCTGAAGAGTAAGGCAAACAGGACTCTTCTCCATTGCCTTCCTGCCCAAGAAGACAGTTGAAAGTAACTGAAGAAACAAAAGAACTGAGCGGAGGGAAAGGCAAAGGCTGATTCCAGACTAAGACAGGAGTCTGGTCTGTAAAGAGAAGTAACTGGAACTCTAAGCTACAAAAACTCTGCAACTTGCCTAAAAACATTTAGGGTGAGAAATTATGTTTTGTAACCTGTTTCTTGAGTGTATTAAGCCTAGTTTGCCTGTTTTGTTTTATTTGCTCAGTAATCTGCTTTGTTCTGTTTGTTATCACTTATAATCAACCTTTTATAGTTAATAAACTTGTTTTTGTTTGTTATAAAACCCAGTTTGTGAAATTTATAATGGGGGGGTGGGGGGATGCAAGAAGTTATGCATATATTTCTTCACATTGAGGGAGGGGGGAGAATTTATGAGCTTATGTTGTATAGATGTCTCTACAGCACAAGACAATATTTTTTGGGTGTACTTTCTAGCGGGGAGCTGTACTTGAGTGCTGGGCGATTTCCTAGCTAAATCTTCCCATTAGAGAGCTGCTCACAGACTGTGTGCAATTCTACAGCTGGTGCGTCCCTACCTGTGTGTGTGCTGCTAGAGGCCGAAGAGCCTGATTCAGCAAATCAGGGAGAGGGAGCCCAGGCTAGTGGAGCAGGCAGGCTCAGTGAAACCCCACTACATCAGGTAGCATGCTGGACTGGGGGTCCATACGTAAACACAACCTCCAGCCAACCAACCAAGAAACTGATTGTTGCATAAAAGAAAAAAACTGAAGTTCCACAAGATGCTTTAGGACTGTGTTAAGTGCTACTTTAGCAAGTTTTAGATATGGTGCTGAACTGTCCTCGGTCATCAGTTTAGGATGATTGCACCTGTTCTGATTTTTCATTTTAGCTGTCTGAGCAAGTGGCAAAGTACTAAGTACTTTCTCTGCATCATGGATAGCATCTTTAGCAACTTGGACACAATATTCTATGGTTTTCTTTTCAGACACAGAATTAATAAGGTGTAGTCTACTTAGTTCTTTTTGTGTTATGCTTCTAGCCATTATTATACTCCTGGGAGAATTCTGCGTGTGCATAATTAATGAGCCATGCATACTTTTAAAGTTTTGTGCAGAAAAAAAAATCCTTCTGCTGAAATGGGAGTGGAGACACAGGGCCATGGGGGGAGGGAGGTATAGGGCTACATGGTAATGGGGGAGGGGGTGCAGAGCTACATAAGGACAGGGGAGTGGCTGGGTGAGGGCACAGAGACACATCGGGACGGGATACAGAGCCACATAGGGATAGGGAGGGGTGTGAGTGGGGGTGGAGGGACACGTCAACAGGGGGTGCAAGGACACATGGGGTTACAGGAACACACGGGGACGGGGCAGATATACCTGACTGAATGGGAGAGGCTAGGGGTCAGGCAGGGTCTGCATGGAGACGTTCCCTAAAAATCCCTCCCCGCCCTCTTCCCTGCCCAAAAAAAGTTCCATACTTTTCCCACCTATACCCAACAACCCATCAAGTTCACACCCAGACTCCTTCCCAGCAATTTACTTCCCTCTCCTTCAGCTCCTCCATTAACCCTGACTCCTCCAAGACTTTGCACTGCTTCTGAGGGGTGCAGGAAATACGGTTCTGTATTCTAGTTTAAATGGAATTATTACTCATGAGTTCTGTATTAATATGCCTAGTAAGGGATCTATTTGTCAAAAACATTTCCTGAATCTTTTTTGTTGTCTGTATTGTTACAGACATACTTGCTGACAGGTATTTTGAAATAAATGACCAAAAATAATCGCAACAGTTTCAATTATATGGTGTTATTTCGACAAAAAAAAAAAAAAAAAAAAAAGCAAAATTTTCAAATATCATGCGCAAAATTTTAAACTTTTTTGGCACAGTATTCCCCCAGGGGGAATTATATTCCTGATTTTCTTTCTTCCTTTAAAATTTTCATTTATTGCTTCCCTTTGCGGCAGTCAGCAATAGACCTGCAAGCTCAAATATGTCTGCTTTGGCATATTTGGGGTGAAATGCTCTAAATTTCTCATGATATGCCACACTGCAGGTGATAGCATAAAACAAAAAACAAACAAACAAAAAGATTACAACTTTGCTCCCACAGTGGCAAGAGCAATCAAGAATTGCCAGAAAGTTGGGAAGTAAAGAGAATCAGATACTGCTTCTCAACAGAGCTATGTTGAACGCTGGTGAAAAGCCCAGAATTGGGACGGAAAAATCAGACACTACATCAACATTTCAATGACAAATTGTGGCAATGAGAAAATCTCTATCAAGTTCCAGTAAAGGGCATATTGATCTTTAATCCAAAGTAATCTCTTTTTCTGTATTTTGTTCAGAGGATTTATATCCTTTTGGCTAACAACTATTTGTTTCAATGTTTTATTTTGAAGAATTCTATTTGCATTGTTTGTGGCTACGTAATCACATGTTTCCAATCACATTCAACTTTAGACACGGTGAATTAGTAGTTCACACACTGATATCTAGTAATCATTAAATATTAATCATTGGTTTCCAGTATATAATCAACAGCTTTCATATTTACTAGTTAGAATGAGGAAGTAGTGAATTCACACTAAGAACTGAGAAGATAAGCTAACTAGATTTATCATTAATATATGCCCTACATACATTCCAGAAGCTTCTAGAATTTAGCAAATCAATTCCCCCTAACAGTTTATAAACTCCCTGTCTTCAGCATTCAGTGAGTTGATTCCACCCACTAGCCAGTCACTCCACTCATTACTGTTTTTCCTCTAGAACTTTAGAGGGTTTTGTTTCCCAATGGCAGGCATGTACTCAAGTTTTTTTTCGGGGGGGAGAGAAGAGGAGAAGTGGGGGAGGGGCGTTAATTTTTTTCCATTCAGGCTAAAAGTAGGCAAGACAAAAATCCCCTCAAATAGAGATTGTGGTCAAGTAATTACTTCAAGGACAAGTTGAAAAAACTAAACATGATAAAAAATTTTAAAGCCACTAGATTTTCTGGAATAAAAAAAAAAGTTTCATAAACTGGATTCATACTCTGAGAATTCTACTATACTTATATTGCAAGGCACTAGTTCTCGTGAGATTATTCCTCATTGAAAGGTAACTGAAATTACTGTATTTTATAGGTAATTAGAATGTATGCTGTGCATGCTCTTAAAAATGTGAAATCAATAAAAGTTGTATTAAAAAAATTCATCCTACAGTTAGAAGACATTTTAACTTGAATAAGGCTGCATCTTTTCAAATTAAGTAATAACTGAACTGTTCTATAATTTTTAAATAAAGATTGTTTTCTTAAAACTAATAGTTTGGTGGTTTGGTTGAGCTTAAAATAATGTAATAAAAATAAACGTAATATCCAATTTGATCAACTAGAAAGATCACAATATGAGCAGATGGTAACTAGTTTGTATTAAAGTGTAAATATTAAACTTAAGCAGGTTAAGATATCCAGTCCACTTAATTCATTAGGACTTAACATATCTTCCAAGTCTGCATTAGTTTAGAATCACTCTTATTTTACCCCACTCACCTTTAGTTTTCTGTGTCAGCTCTTCTTTGGTTTTAGTTAGCTCAACAGTAACTTTTCCCAGTTTTTGTTCAAGCCAAGCAATAGCTTCTTGTGGGTCTTCTAGGGATAGAATATACCTGTGAGCTTCTTCTGCCTGCTTCTTAATATCAGTGACATCATCTTGCAGAAAATTAATAATGCCCTCGAGATCAATACAGTTCTCAGGAGCTACATTATTGCCTCCTTCCTAGAAAGGAAGTGAAAAGTGCTTTATGGTTATTTAGCAATGGCCTAAAATTGCTAAATCAGCTTGTAACTGCTATAATAGAACCCTAGGTTCTCTTGGACAAATCTTAGTATAGCCATCCTTCCAATGGACAGTTGGATAAATTCATGAAGTTGTTCATGAAAGGAAACGATAAAACCTAGGAATTCCCAGATTTTAATCCTGACTGATGCCATCTTGCATTTTGGGGATAATATCTGCCTTCCTCTTTTTTTTACAGCACTTAAAAGCAAGGGTAAAATTTTCTGTTATACTGATATAAATCCAAGTAACAGGAGAATTTTGCCCATAAACCACAAAGAAGTATTGTATCTTGAGTTGGGAGAATGTGGAATATAACACACCAAGTGAACAGTCTGTGTCAATTTCTGAATTGTTATTAACTAGTGTCTGGAAAACTTAATATATTTTTGTAAAAAGGTAAAAATAGAAGAGTTAAAGATACAGCTTTTTTAAAATTAAGATGAAAAACAAGGGGAAGTAGAGGTTAAAATAATAGGATGACAAAAAACTGCAATATCCTGTCTCGTGCCAAAAAACAAGCACCGGGGCCTAATTATGCCTTAGATACATATGCTACTCCCATTGCTTGAAATGTGCACACATCTTTTTTGAAAAGATTTTTAGGTTCCTATAAACATATTCAGTGTGAGTAGCCTAAAGTCATCTGAAATAGGTATGTGACTGAAGTTAAACAAAGTTAAATTCATATTAGATTCTACTATAAGCTATAAACGCATCCAACTTTTTAGCACACAAAGCCCAAATTTTAGAACCCGAACTACTTACTTTTCATCTTATAGTGCACATCTCTAAATTTTCATCCCTTGAAAAATCCCCAAAATAGATCTTGAGAGTTCTTTAATGACAAGCTAAAAGGTACCGACATCTAATTTAAGAAATAAGGTCTACCCTACTTGGAACAAGAATTCTTGAAGTCACCACTACATCCATTCCTTGGCATCTGGAGTCAGTTTACATTAATACCCAACCATGAGAAGTGCTCATCCCTTAACAGTAGGTTAGGTACAAGTACAAAGCCAGATTCTTCAACAATATGTAGGGGGGGAAATTACCAGCATTCCAGCTCTTTCATTACAATAGGAATCTTTTATCACCTGTTCTTCATCCAGGTTTTTGGCACATTCATTTACCAAATCCTTGTAGATTTCCAAGCGTTGTTCAGAAGCTTCTTCTAGCAACTCTCGTTCATGAGAAAGGCATTGCCTGTATTTAAAGAGTTCTAATGCTAGAAATTACTTTATTATTATAATTATAAACAAAGAATGTTAATGAGTCTGACACTACACTTTGACTGTCAGAACCCGGGTATTCTCCCATGCTTGTTCATTTTGTGAACTGGGTTAACTTTAAGTTACAGCTGCTCTTGCTAACAAACATCACAAGTGTATATTAGCCTTGCATTCAGAAACAGTTCAGTAACTAAAAATTATGAAAAATATTTATACAGATCAAGGCTTTCACAAGGTTTTCTGAATTGTGCATCTTCCTAGAGGTAAACTGTACACTAAATTTGTGTATATTTTTCAGCAGCCATTCAAGCAGCTTTTGAGCCTCACATACCAAAATTACTTATAGCATGGTAGTGCACTCTGTATGCCCTCCTCTTGCATGGAACATATCTGCATTTGATACAGGGATTGGAATTTACAGATGTCCAAAGTCTATCCCAAATCATGTCAAAGTTTCATTACTTAGTTCCAGACGTCTAGAATTGAAACATTTTATTGTTCTGGAAAGCATTTATATTGGACCATCAACTAGAGTACATTTGCAAGAGGTTTTCTTCCTGTAATTTTAGCAGACAGTGCAACAGGCAGCTATATAGCTAGAACTTTACATCTAAAGCCACTGAAAACATTCATCATATTCCCAATTAGATGACATTCATTTTTTGCCTAGATAGCGTGAGAGATCTTAGGACTTCAGAATTGTCATTTGTCTTTCATTGTTCTCACTTTTCAGTGGTTTAAATCAGTCAATACAGAACGCTGGGTTTTTTATTTTTGTTTCATATAAAGTTTAGATACAATACATGTTGCTTTCACAGCAAGTGGTTAATGTCAACTTGGGTATGGGGTTTGAACTAGTTTTGGCAGGTAAAAAGACTTCAAAGTAAGAAAGCTGAGGGGAAAGATCAGAGCAGTCAAAAAGAATTTGTAATTCTTTCCTTTTACAAAGAATCTTAACCAATGTAATTTCTAAGGGAGGTGTGGGGAGGAGAACTCAATTTTATTTGAGCAAATCCAGTTTGACATGTTTTCTGAGAAGAGGTTTAAGCTAAAACAAAGAGTCACTTATATTGGACACTGGAATAAGAGTGTCCGCACAGGGTGGAGGCGCGGGAAGGGGCAGCTATGTTAAACTTCCCCAACACTAAGTATTTGGCTTTTATTTTATTATTTCATTTTACCTGCAACTGTAAAAGATACAAATATTTACAACCTACAGGCTAAGATTAAAAGACTGGAGTTACACAACAGTGTAAACTATGTACAACTAGAAGACTATAAAGAAACCTAAGCAACTGTTAACTTACCTGAAATCTGTTTCCCGTTGAGCAAAATACTGAGTAAATTCTTGTGTGACTTCTTCACGAATTTTTAATTCCAGGAGTAACTTATCTTTTCTCTCATTGATCAACTTGCTTTTCAAGTCTTCTATTATATTTAGTAGTCTCTACAATGATCACAAATACTCTTTTAATGCTTTTATAAAGGAAAGTTTTCAGAAAGATTATTTCTTAATCACTGCTCCAAGAATAAAAGGTTCTTCAAAGATGAGAATATTGGTTCAGATTTCTTTTTGAAATGTGAGCAACTATTGTGTCCAATTCTTCTACCATTATCGGAAAAACAGGAGGATTGATAGATTAAATGTTGGTAAATTGCTGTATCAGTGCAAACCATCAATATTGTATACGTATGTACACAGAACAAGCATGTTCAAGAATCCAAAGAACATTATAATGTATTATATCAACTGTTAGAAAAATTTTCTAAGAAAGATTGGAATGATTTATCTGTTCAAAACAAGATTAAAATCTAGAGTTTTAAAAACAGTATATTTTTAAAATAGACATTGTTTCTCAAGGAGCATTAGTTGGAGAATATATCACAGCACAATACAACCCAAAGCAAGAGTGGTTTCCAAATCTAGTATTGTTCCAGATTAAACTGATGAGCATGCTGAAGCATAGAAGAAAGTTTGCTTCCAGAGATCTTGCATGCATAGAATATAGGCATAAAGGATTTTTTATATTACTGAAGTCCACAGCTTGCCCATGCTGTAAATACAGTACACTGAGGAGAGGTCCATTTACACAGACTTTCAGTAACGGGTGCAACCAAACTAAATCATGCCCAAATCCGAACTTAAAAAGCCATTTTTACAGTTTTCCGCAACAGGCAGCATGCTTCAGTCCCCCACAAATATATTATACTAAGGATGCCACCTACCCATCAAAAGTTATATTGTAATGACTCTGAAAGCATTCCAGGTACATACCAGATACTCTTCTTTTCCAATAATTACTTTATTTTCCTCCTCCTCATTTGGCATCTCTTTTGCCATATCATACTCCTCCTCCTCCTCATTTGGCATTTCTTTTGCCATATCATGCTCCTCATGTGTCTCATTGTTATCCACAGTTAAATCATCGTCATCTTCTATCACGTCTTCCAGGCTCCTGTCCCAAAGTACAGTGGCTCTCTTTCTTGCTATCTGCATTTTAGTGTCAGCATTATTTATGAGAGACACTTCTCTTGCAGACTTCTGGATAAATGGCTGCTCTTGGGGAGCATTAGAAGTGTCTAGAACACAAATCTGTTGAGGGAAATAGGTTGTCAATTATTTGTTAGACACTGGTTTAGAGAATACTAAGCACTTATTGAGGTAGCCTGTAGCCATGGCTATCAGTTAGCCTGCAACTGGGGGCTGTACTTCATTCTGTTGGCAATGCCTACTTGCAGTTACCACACCTGAAATTCTCTGCCACGCTACAAAACAGGAGTACTTTTGAAGTGCAGAGAAGAACAGGAATCATGCAGAAACTGCACTGTTTTGAGACTCAGGATTCTCCTGGAATGAAGCACTGGAGACTGGCTAGAGGGACAAAACTACTTCAGGAGTGAGGCTGCTAATTCCTTTGACATAGAAGAACTGCTGCTATGTTATTTTGGCAAGAACAGTGGGAGACTGTCTCAGGAGCCAAAGGCAGCTTGTCCCTTTTGCAGAGTCAGACTGCAGTTAGTGCTGGAGAGTAAGAAAGAAACTCCCCCCAGAGATTGGAGGAATTAGAGGGGGAGAAAAAAACCTGATGTACTTCTCACCACATGCCTGCTGAGAACAAATAGCTTATAATCAATAAGAGAACAGGGTGAGATGTTTGCATTAAAAATATGAATGTTTAAAATTTCTGTATCAGGTCAGAGACAGGACGAGCCGTGTGTGTGACGTTTGGAATTTCTAGGGATTATGGTTCTCTAGCTGGCAGAGCCCAAGAGAGCATTATAATCACAACAGCTTTTTGTAAAGATTCATTTTTTTAAATGTTTCCTTCCCAAAACTATGAAGTATTTCAACCAGGAAAGATTACAGAACATTTAATTTGATCATGAGAAGACAAATTTAGAGACAAAATTAAAAAAAAAAAATCACTGAAGTATGATATGGGACGGATTTTAGAGACTTGCTTTAAGTGCAAGTCTAAATTCTACAGATATGGAACTACTAAATTATCTCCATAATGCAACTTTGAAGATTTTAAAAATAAAGCTACAAAGTTATAGTGCACTTACTTTTTGGGCAATTGCTGAGAACTTTAGCACATTGAGGGTTTCATCATATGCACCAGCACACTGGCTGATGTTTACTATCATATATACCTTCCCTTTTCCACTGAAAAAGCCTTGAAGGAAGTGAGTTAGTTTACTTTCCCGAAATGGTATGTGCAGCTGCAGCCTAAAAATAATACCAAAGTTAGATACATTCCAGTTCAGTAGGGGGAAAAAAAGCCTCAGTTATAACATTTCAATCTGCAATTCCTGGATTCTTTAACAGTATAAAACAGACCACATTAGGTCTTAGAAATTTAAGCATTAAAAATGTGTTAGAATGATAGTAAGCTATCACACTTCTAAAGATTCTACTTCATACAGGTATTTTTAGTACCTCTCTCATTACTGTAAAATTAGAGAAGGATAGTTGGTTTGCTGCATGTACTGGACAGCACTTTGTATTTAGCCAGTTTCATTGTTTTTCCTATGTAGTCTGCTTGTGTGGATCTCCCACACAGTAATGAGGATGAGCGTGCAGAGAAAAAAAGAGTTGTAGAATCACAAGAGTGCAGGATGCTCAGGAGCAGGTGTATCATCTGAAGCTATTTTTTTTTTTTTTGGTCATTTAAAAAAAATGGCTAGATTTCTAATGGATGGTGTCTCCCTAGTGCAGAGCCAACATGAGGCCTATGCACCACTTACTCCCTAGTTTGAGGGCGTATGAGGAACTTAAGTGGTACACGGGCTTTATGCTAGCCCTTTAGATAAAGAGTAATGGATTGAGGTAAAACCATTGCGATGTGGTATGGTGTCCAGAGATATCTATTAATTATAGCCACAGTTGTCCAAGGGCAGCTGCTCTCTGCACTGTCCTAAGGTTGAAGATTCCTTTCTATACTTAGAATTTGACCTACTGCTAGATGCAGTCCTCCCCCCAATCCACCTTCTCTGCTGAGAACGTCTGGTGCTTCACCAGCCTGGCCTGTACCTTAATGCTGGTCCTAACTTCCAATATCCAAGCACCAGCAGACAAGTGTACAGCTCGGGAAGAGTACAGGGGTTTCCTGCCACAAAGCTTGGTTTACAAATAAATCAGTCAGTAGTCATGGAAGACTAAGCAAGTTTATTCAAATTCCTACATATTTTGAATAATCATAACGAACAGCAAAATGTCTGAAAAGTGTATTAACTGGTACATTTTCAAAAAACTACTCCGTGTGTTTAATCAGACTTCCCAGAAATTTTGCACATTTGGGCTGAAGAGTGGGAAATTTATCAAACTGCTTTTTGTACCATAACTACAGTTAACATTTGTGCTACATGTAGAAAGATAAATTTTTGTGGCTTTATAGAACAGCTAAAGGTAACAGTTATAGTAGCACCTACTTTGACTGTTGACTGTTCTTGAGTGCATTGATGCATTTGCCTAGAATCAGTAAAGAGGTGTTAATATTTCCACTCTCTTTCAATCTATCACCTTCATTGCGCGTCTTGGTACATCTCTCTGAGCCAGCAAGATCACAGAGCGCCAATCTGAAAATACAGATTAATAGTTATTTTGCTTTTCAGGCGTTTTGAAGTCAGCAAAATTAGTGTTAGCTTTGAAATAAACACAATCACTTACTCACTGACTCGTGTTACATTAGGTGCTTCGGAATCTTCAATCTTTAACATTTTAACAGTGAATATGCTGTGACTAAAAGATAGAGAGACAATTTTTAAAAAACTGGACTAATTTCAATGCTACTTAAATTCAAAATATTTTAGTCTCTATAATGCCTGTGTGGGGAGAATTTCATGATTGAAGATATACTGTAACATGAAAAATTACCTTAACACCCTGAATGTGTGTATATGAGAACATACACTTGAGACCTAAATGCAGTCTTTTTTTAATTGTTCAAACAGGCAAAGTAGCAGACTATCCCCACACCCAACATTCTATTTATTATTAGAAGCCTGAGGACTTTTCAAACCCCAAATGAGACTGGAATATAAAGGCAAACAAACTTAACAGCTAAATGCCTTACCTTCAAGGAAGGCATTTCAGCAAAAGGTGTTTAATTCTTATGTAGGTCAATCTTATTGCAAGATTTGAGCAAAAATTGCAGTTTTTGTTCACCAATAAAGTAGGTCAAATCCAGAAGCTAGAAGTCTGGACTCTCCCCTCAACACAAGCTCCACAGAGATTTTAAAAATTGGCCAGCGTGGTTTTTGTGTTCTACTACCCTATATTGAACAATATCAACAACAGTTCTCTCACCTTCTACTGGAGTAAGTATTCAGTTTTGTGCAAGCAATACTCTGGTGCTTCAACCCGAGCTTCAGAAGTTTAAAAGCTTCTTTGGAATCAGAAACCTGAATCCACTGCAGATCTTGAAAGGAAATACCAAGACTTCATATTTAATGGGCCATACATTATTTAATACATATATCTTGATTAGCACTAGAATAATACTTTCATTTAGACTGCGTTTCTGCTTTAGCAGGGCCTCTTGTGAAAATGGCAATCACACTTGACAACTCTTTGCAATCAATGGAATCAATCTTACTAAAAAAAGTCATTGATCAGTATTTTGAGTCTACAAAATAATGAAACCCATATTGATAAATGCAACAGTCTTTGTACCTGAAATCACCACAAGAGAACTTCAAGCAATATTAAGATGGTAACTTCTGTTAACTAAAAACATGGAAAAAATACAATAAAATTAGCCAGCAATAGCTCTCAAAGTAATGCTGGACTGTGACAAAAATCGAAAGTTAGATCAAATTTTGTTTTTTGTTTAGTTTATGCAGCCTTGTATTCTTGAGATTATGTAGTCCTCAGTGTAATGGTATATACTAAGACATGGTTGTAAGACTTTCTGATCCTGTAGAAAATGCATGTTTAGAATCTCTGTAGATAGAAAGTAGCTAAGTGGCATGTACACCAGTTTAACTAACTTTTTAGGGTAGGTCTACACTGCAATTAAGACACCTGCAGCTTGCACAGGCCAGCTGACTTGGGCTTGGAGGGCTTGGGCTAAGAGGCTGTTTAACTGCAGCGTAGACATTTGGGCAGACCCTCCTACCTTGCAGGGACCTAGAGCCCAGGTTCCAGCCCAAGCCCAAACATCTGCACTGCAGTTAAACAGCCCCTTAGCCTGAGTCAGTTGACATGGACTACCCATGGGTTTTTAATTGCAGAATAGACATACTGTTAGGGGCTGAATCTACACTTTGCAAAGGGGGTGAAAAAAGCTCACACCACCATCATGCCCAACACCCACAAATAAAACCTTATTGGGCCTTCTAAACTGGACCTGGTTAGGTCTATTTGCCTGTATGAGGTCACAAAACTTACGCTGGGGTGGAAGCAGGCAAGTCAGCCCTTATAGAATTTCCATGAATAATTCAGCCTAGTTGTGACCAGTGTAGCCTGAGAGATTTGAAGACATGGCTCCCTTCTTGAGGGAAGCCTATCATAATTGTGAGGCTGCGCTTTCACCAGATAGAGAGATATTACACGGCAAGAGACTCTTCCTATACTTATCAAAAAGCAGAACTGTCTCTGGAATTCTTTTGTTAAAAACAAAAGACACTATGTAAAACCAAACAGCTTTCTTCAGTTTTGTTTCCAACATTCATGGTATCAGGGAAAAAAATATGACTTGGGGAAAAGAATTTTCTGCAGAGAAAATTAGGGAATAGGATACAGGACCCTAGGAAGTGCACTCTGGAAATTAGGGGAACATTGTGGAAGACCTCCTAATAAAGTGCATGCATATATGTACACATCCCCAAATTTAAAGTGCTAGGGTGCGTGAAAACTTGGAAACATTAATCCATTCTGAAAATGGCACTCACGCTTGATACACAAAGTAAAGACATTCCTTATCCTACTACAAAGTTAGCATTGAAGCATGTGAACTGGCACCAGGATGAATACACCTGAAATTCAAACAAGTTATCATAACCAGCATAAGTAGTGGTATTTTAGTTACCTTTTACATAAGAGCAGCCTTTGATGTCTTGAGCAAGACGTAGCACCCTTCTTTTCTTGTCATTTGACACTGGGAGTAGTAAGTCATAAATGCACTCATTGTAAATCTCACAAAAGGAAACCCAAACAGAAAATTTCATGTAGCTTGCCATGCTCATGTTAGGTTGTTCAGGTTCTTTTATAGGTTCTTCCAAGTCTGCCAAAACATTTATTCAGTTACACAAATGCCCTGCTCAAATGAAGCCTTTAAAGCAATATGATAATTAACTTAACTCAAGTTATCATATCTCAGCACAGAATTGACAAATTAGATATTAAAAAATATGAACTTGGATTCAGATCAGACTACTTTACAACAGTAAGAAGCTATTGTGATCAATAAGCAAATGACATTTTTTGGTCAACTGGGAATCTCTACCTACCTACATTACATTTATCATGAGAATCACTGAAGCTCACCTGCTCTTATTCAGCGGCAATAATTGGTTTAAAACCAAGTTTTAAACAAGCTTTATTATATACTTGAACTCTCTCAAAGACTAACATCTTTAGAACATACTTGTCAATGTAACGCTACTTTTAAATCTTCCCTTTTAAAAAAAAAATTGAGAATATTATTTGACATATCTATGGGGATTATTTTGGATTTCCTCCCTAATAGTTATAATTAAATAAACTTATTTTAAGTGCTCATAAGAGTTGCTAGGATGATAGCACTAGAAATACCACCATCACCAGCAGGACAAGTTCCCCCTACCACAGTAACATCCTACTCTGCAGTCTGCCTTAATTCAGACCTAGATGAGTACTGCAGTCTTCATACCAACTTTATCTTTGGCCTCTCTGCCAAGTCTAACAATTGGAGCGGTTTGTGTCATGAGACCCATCCACAAGAAATTATATAGAAACCAATTTGTTTCACATAGCCCAACTGCTGTCAAATGACAAACACTTTCAACTACTAGAAACCTGGACTCAAAGTGAATCACTAATCTAGAGAATGGCCCTCAACCTCTTAAATAAAAGAAAGGGGGTTGGGGGGATTAAATGGTTTTAATATAGAACATACCTTCAGATGATTCTGAAGTTTTGCTGTGGTTGTTTATGCTGTTTTGAGAGTCCACCTATAAGACAAGGACAAAAGAAGGAACAAAGTTTGATTTTAAAATGCATCGTCCTTATTATGTCATGGTCAATATAATATTAGGTATTTAAATCGATCAATTTTGTAACATAGTACTACTGCTCCACTAAAGGCCAATCAATTGTAGCAACGATACGCCAACATAAGTTTACTGGCCACATGAAGTTTCCAGTGGCTGTTAATGTCACAAGACTAGAGAAAAGCATCTCCAAATTTCTAATGGGCTGAATGTCAAACTAACAAGCTTAGAACAGCAACAAAACTAGGATGGTCACTTAAAGAGCTTAGCTAAATGATTGTATCACCACATATGCTGTTAAGAGACCATGCTAAAGTCTGTTTCAAGTTGAAATAAAAAATTTAAGATTCCGAAGACTATGGGGTCTTTTTTTGCTAAACTTATACTTGTAAATCAAAGGAAGAGGAATGCCTACTGCTAATACTTTTAAGTTTATGTATACTTCCAATATCCAGTTTTGTAAAGGTAACACACATAGTATGGCTGCAAATAGCACTGGTCTACAAATTTTGAGAAGTCGTCTGCTTCAGAGATAAAATGTGCTATTTATTATGTATTTTGATGTGCTGAATTCAAATATGACAGTTAAAACAACTGATTGGCTACTGTTTCTAAGATATTTAAGTTTTTATATTTTATATCTATGTATATTGTGTAGATAGTAGAGTTTTAATCATAAATTGTAAACCTAGGTCTTTTCATGTGTCTATGGTTGCTTTACATGATAATATTTCACCTGTCCTGTTTATGTAACACTTTAAAAATCAGCAAAAGGGTTATATAAATAAAATTTATTATGAAACAAAAGGCAAAAAACTATTATGTACATAGTTAAGTCCTATTCAGGGTCTACTCGGCGCTTCTTGGCTTGTCTCTTGTATTCGTTAAATGGAGCATCTCGTCACTGTCCAGCAATAGTCTGCAAGCATTGATGGGCTCCATTTGCCCCGATAGCGTTTCTCCATTGTTGCAATGTCCTGGTGAAATCACTCGCCATGCTTGTTGCTCACTGCTCCGCAGTTCGGTGGAAAAAAA